AACTTATTACACATTTTGAAAATTGGACACGCAGAAAACCACTATAAACGATGTCAGGCAGCTAGAAAGGAATTCCTGCCTATGTACAATGAGCAAACTGTAGGAGCCAGTACGCCAGGCATCTTCAAAAGGAAGTGCTGCTACTTCCCTAGTCCAGCCAAAGTACGTCAGAGATGCTTTTAGCAGAGTCCTCTGCAGATGCTACATGAGGGTGTGTTGGCTTCTCATCGCGGGGAGGGGAGGGTGTACATATGTCTTACTATACTTTCTGAGACTGTTCTTTCTGAAAAACACCATTATTTGTTGGTGGAGTAGCTGATTGCTTTGTATTCGAGGTCAACAATGGTAGAAATATAAGATATAAAGAGCTACTGTAGTCATTGTAATCTGACAGAATGGAGTTTCTCATCAAATATTCAGTCATGTTTACACTACTCAAATACCTACACATTTTAGTCCCATCGCTCATTTCTTTTTTTTCTTTTTAAAGATTTATTTATTGGGCTTCCCCGGTGGCGCAGCGGTTGAGCGCTGGGTTGCGAAGCTGCCCGCGGCCTCTGCGGGGCCGGTTCAATCCCCGGCTGCTCCCCGGCCACCGGAGGAGGGTCCCGCATGGCGCGCAGACCTCTCCTGCCGCCCGCTGCTCCCCTCAGCAGTGTACTTCGTTCCTTCTGCCTGCTCTGCTCCCTGCTCTGGCTCTGGTGAATTCTCTCACCCTCCCGCGCTTCTGACTGTACCCAGTGCATGTATAAACAAACAAACAAACAAACAAATAAATAAAAATACATGCCTCTTTGAAAAAAAAAAAAGATTTATTTATTTATGCATACAAGAACTGGGGTACAGGCCAGAGGTGCAGGGGGTGAGAGGATTCACTAGAGACAGAGTGGGGAGCAAAACAGGCAGATTGACTAAAATACACTGCAGAGGGGAGCAGCGGGTGAGACAGGAGAGGTCTGCTGCGCCATGAGGGTTGCTCTCTGAGTGAGGATCAAACTCGTGCTGCAGAGGCTGTGGATAGCTTCACAGTGCTGTGCCTAATCCGTTGCACCACCATGGAGGACCCATTTCTCATTTCTGAGAAAAAAATGACTGTACTTCCTCAAACCAAAGGAAACTGCATTTTTAAACAGCAATTGTCGTTTCCTGTGAACATTTTAGTTCATTTTTTTTTTCTTATTTTATTTTTTTTTTAAATAATGTTTGCGGAAGTAAAATTTTTTGCACTTTTTTGGCTGAAACATCTTTAAGAGCATGTCCTTTCAGCTGCAATTTCAGGAGCAACTATATTTTTATTACATGGTTTTTAAGATTACTTGATTTATTAAATTATGCATTTATATATATTTAATAAGAAAAAAAATATTTTATTTATTTATTCAGATTAAAATAAAAATTTATTTGTAGAAGAACCAGGGTACAGGCCAGATGTGCGAGAGGGTGAGAGGAGTCAACAGAGACAGAGCGGGGAACAGAACTGGCAGATTGAAAGACACTGCTAAGGGGAGCAGAGGGCGAGACAGGTGAGGCTGCTGCACCATGTAGATCAGCTCCCTGGCTGGCCGGGATCGAACCTGTGCTGCAGAGGATGTGGATAGCTTCACAGTGCGGCGCTCAACTGCCTGCACTACCAGGAAGGCCCCCCCCCCCCCCCCGCAAAATGTTTTTAACATCTTCAATACTATCCTTTGTCCATGACCCAGGATCCTGTATCTTGTGTTAGTACCCTTGAAACTGTGGTTTACTAGCTTGTTAGCTTGCAAAAACACAAGACTTCCTAACGTGAGATGATTTGGACTTCTTTATCCTCATGTTCATTTTTGAAGTGAACTTAGTAAAATGTTTGCACATTTCATTTAAATATGACCTTTATTGACAAAATTAGTCAGTATTTTCATTTGCTGTTCTTTTACTTTCTTTAGGACCTCTAGTAAGTGTCCCTTATTTTATTCTTGACATTGGCATCTTTGCTTTTTTTCTTGATCAGTCTTGCTAGGTGGTTACCACTGTTATTAACCCATCCATATACATGGGCTCAGCCAGGATTCCATAGGGCTGACAGTTGCAAAGAGGTTTAAAAGCTTGGGCCAAAATCAGTGAACCAAGCAGAGGGAAAGGATTGAAAAAAGCAAACCAAATCATAACCTAAATAGGAAACTTGCTAATGGTCAGTGTCTGAGGTCCTTTGATATCTAAAATTTAAAGTCTGCAAAGAAAAAGTCAAAAATAACCACAGGCAGGGCCTCCCTGGTGGTGCAGGGGTTAAAGATAGCACTATTAAGCTATTCCCAGCCACTGCAGCACTTGAGTTCCATAGGCTGGCCAGGGAGAAACCCACATGGCCCAGCAGACCTCTCCTGTCTCCCCGCCTGCTCCCCTCAGCAGTGAATTTCAGTACATCTGCCTGTTCTGCTACCCCACTCTCTTTGGTGAATCCTCTCACCATCCACACCTCTGGCTTGCACACCAGATCTTGTATGCATAAATAAATAAATCTTCAAAAAAAAATCACAGGCATGAACAAGTGAGTTTGTTTTATAGGCCTTTTCTAAGGAAGATACCTGTCATCTATGAGACTGAACTTACAACTTCATGAACAGATGTGGAAATGTAGAAGATCACATGTTGATTTAAATGAAAAACAAGAAAATAGAATAAAATAATACTATTTGTCATTTTAAGAAAGATATCTTCCAGTGTTGAGTTACTAAGATGCCAATTTTAAGTCACTGGTTAACATGATTGACTCTCATAGCTTTACACGAGCAGTTAGGACTGGGGTTAAGCAGTCCATTAAACACTATATTTCATTTTGAGTTTCACTATTTTTAGATTGTCTTGAAGGGAGGGAAAGTGTATTAATTGTACCAAAACTCATCTACAGTGACTTGACTACAAGACTTAGTTAAGAAATGCAAAAGTTTGGAGTCTAACAACTTGATTTCAGTATTACCAGCTCTTCTTATTTTCCTGCTTCATAATTCTTAACATGTGATTTTTCCACTCCTGCTTCTTATCTTGTGGTCACAAGACAAGTGCTCCATCAAGGACCTCATGCCTATACCCCAAAGATGAAGAAGGAAGGGATTGTGTTTTTACATCAGACTAGGAAGACAATGGAAATAACTAATTTCTATTTTGTGTAGGAGGCAGGAAAATAAGTCACCTCAAGATCTGTCATTCAGAGAGATATCAGCATCGCTGGTCAAGGCATCTATTGTAGGTGAGGTTATGTTCATCCGAAAGACATGTTTAGTTCCTAACCCCTTGTACCTCAGAATGATCTTTGGAAATTGGGTTCTTGTAGATGTAATCACATTCAGATGAGGTTGACTAGTACCCTTATAAGAAAAGGAGAAGAGAATGCAGAAACAGAGAGGAGACCATGTGAAGGTAGAGGGGGAGGTTGGAACCAAGGACTCTTCCACGGCCATGGAATGCCACAGGCTATTAGAAGTTGAAAGAGACAAGAAAACATGTCACACATGCTCAGTGGGAACAGTGTCAACCAGCACCTTGATTTTGAACTAGGGAGCTCTAGAACTCTAAAAGAATAAATTTCTCTTGTTTGAAGTCACCCAGTTTGCAGCACTTTATTTACATTAGCCCTGGGAAGTAATAAAGCATGTACCCTAGATTTACAAGGGGTATTGATTTCTTTTTTTTTTTTAAGATTTATTTATTTATGCATACAAGAACTGGGGTATAGGCCAGAGGTTCAGAGAGGTGAGAGGATTCACCAGAGACAGAGTGGGGAGCAGAACAGGCAAATCTACTGAAATACACTGTTAAGGGGAGCAGCAGGCAAGACAGGAGAAGTCTGCTGCGCCATGTAGGTTAGTCCCTGGCCGGGGATGGAACTTGTACAGCAGTGGCTGCCTATAGATTCATAGTGCTGAGACTTAACCCCTTGTACCATTAATTTTGAATTGCAGAATTTAAGAGGACAACAAACAACTCTGTATTCAGATCTTAGCTGTCATCCTGGGGAAGTAACAATTTTCCTCTCTGGAATCTTAAAAGTTTAAGTAAGATAGGCTACAGATATGCTTTGATCTATGTAAAATGTCAGGCACTGTAGGTGAATCCTTTCTTACCCACTATGACAGCATGTAAGTTGTCACATGTAAGTAAATACCTAAGATTTCATTTTAAAGTAGAAACTGCCATGAGGAGTGCAATTCACTGATGGCCTCCAGCTGCAGTGCCTTTGGGATCTGCTACAACATCTCAGCCAAGGGTGTGCTTTTCCCCGGCAACCCCAGTCAATGACTAGACACAACAGCCTTACCAAGTAACTTCTGTCCAATATGTACATCTTCCAACACAAAAGATTTCCATGGGGATTTTTGCAATCATAGTCTGAAATAACCTAGAGAATATGTTGAAGAGTAGATGGAGAAGTTATACGTGTAGATTCCTAAAAAGTTGTCATAGTGGGAACTGAATGTGGTATCATGAATCAAAAGACAATTTTCTCTTTTTAACAGCAGAAGCAATACTAACTCCACACAGTGGTTTTGAATATTAAATAACTATGTGAAAGCATTTAGGAGACTGGGTAGAAAGGAGACTGACTTCATAAAACTATATATATATATGTCTATATATCTCTCTCTCTATATATAAGACATATATAAATATATATATATATCAATATATTTAGAGCAGAGCTTTTGGGGGAAAAAACAAAAAAATAAAATGAAAACAAACACATAAAAAGCCCAGAAATTACAAAATCCAAGAGGATGGTTCAGGACTTTTTGTACAAGTTTATCTTGTCTCATTTATGGACAGGCTTTTAATATAATAAGTTTACTAAATGTAAAGTTTCTAGCACTTTATGTATTTTTGTACATTAGATATTTTTATTCAGTTCATTTATTAGTGTTAGAAGTAGTAAGTAGTTAATTTGTGAGCTTTTACTATACTTATTGAATAACTATATATAAATAACTATTTTTAAACATGAAATTTATTTTTCCACATAAATGATAGCCAGATTGCTCAATCACAATGAATTGATTTTTGACATTTATTAGTCTTTGGCAGCAACACATTATATAGTCTAAAAGAATTACAGCAAAGCTTTCGTGAAATACTGAACATGAAGTAGACATAATAAATTTGTCCTCTAACAGCGTACACAAGTACCACTCAAACTATTCCAAACACAAATATTACAAAGATAAATAAATAATGATATTAGATGCCTTGATATCACATGGAAAATACCACCATCACCAATAGCGATAACAACTATAATAAAAATGATTAAAAACAACATAATCCAAACTTATTAAATGGTTGTTCTGAAATTGGAATGGTAGTAAGCATCTTATATGATCTTTTTTAATATTTGAGAAGCTCATTTAAAGATATTTAAAATACAGATGTAGAAACATACAGATAGAGACATATTTAAAAAATGGAAATTCCCTCCCTTATCAGATTAACATAGTATCATCTTAATATTAATTAGACTGTCAAATCTTTTTAGAATTTTTATCATCACATCTTTAGCTATTCTTAGGGGCCAAGAGTTTGCCTTACAACATATACTATAAAATACATTTTTTGCTTCTTTGTTTCATTTAAATTTGCTGGATAAGGATGGGAAGAGAGAGGGAAAAAAACGTATTGCAAGAGTAGTTCTCGTTTGCTAAAATTTAGTGTTTTTTATTTTTTGCTTTTTAAAAAATATTTCCCTTTGTTTATTCATCAGTGTTAATCTTCACAGTACTTTTCTATGTCTCCTCCTTCTCCCGTACCTCTTGCACTTTATTCTCCACCTCTTTTGGCTCTCCTTCAGTTTCCCCAAGCTTGTTTAACATTTCTTCTTCTAATAATATATTTGGAAAGTGAGACTGCACTATCAAAACAGCTGTAGTACATAGCGACAAGCATACCAGTCTTAGTAATAAAGTAAGTATGCACATTGGATCACACACAAGAGGCCGGGGTACTTCCCATTTTGGATACCAAAATTTGTAATCTGTAAATAAAGAAGCGATTGAAAGCAAGATTTCACATAAACTAGTAAAATCATTGAAGAAATAAAGGACAATAATACATACATGTGGCTTGGTCACGCTCTGCGTTACCTAGAAAGAAAAAGACCGTAAAGAAATTTTGTCATTTCACCTTTTCTCTAGACTATAAGATAATTTGTCCAACAACCATGACATCATTCTCTGAGTTCTTAAGCAACATGGTATCATCATTGCTGCTCCTCAAACTAGTAGCCTGAATTAAATACATTATATTTGCTTTTCATAAAAGTTAGCCTGCTCTGCTAGAGAAAACATCGATATATAAGAGAAATTGTGGATTCTGGTATTAATTCTTTCTCTAAATCCTTTTTTCACCTTATCTAATTCATTTCACTTCTGTACTCAAAAGATTGTTGCAGCTTCAACATTTTAGGATTTTATAATATCTTATTTTTATCTCTCTTCCCCACCCTTCTACCCCCAATCATTTCCAATTAATCTTCTGAATCTACTCACTTTCTTCAAGAATTTTTATTTTCAGAAGCTGTCCGTTGTTCTTCCTTCCCTAGATGGCAAAGTTAACTCTCTAACCTGTCATTCAATCATTTTACTATGTAGCCCCCTATACTATTACAATCCTTTACAGGAAATAAATTTCTATACTTTACAGGAAATACATTTCTTTTCCTTTGCTCACCTGGGCAGAGAGGCCCACACAAATATTCCTAGATGTCACTAGGAAGGAGAGTGGGAGCATAGAAGAGTTCTCACACATAGACAGCCCAGTGAAACCAGGGGCTTTTTCTTGTGTTGATACTAACCTTAGAGGAAAATCAGAAATTGCTATTCAGGTACCTTGGAGAGTTAGTAACCTTCTGTTGGATACTTGAAGCTTTTAGCCTTTTGTGCGTGGTCTTATTTATTGTTTCATATTTTATGTAATGATTCTGATTTTCTAGCCCCTTTTAAAAATATCTTTTATCACGTCATCTGTATTTTTTCTGCTTCACTCTGTATATGTAACTAATGATAGCTTAGTAGAGCCATGATATAATTAGTACATTTACTCTTCATTACTAATTTTCATTGATTGCATTCTTGTTTTACTTTTGGTTTTGATTTAGTATTGAAATACATTTATATTTACTTAAATCTCTATTGTTTGATTTATCAGCTTTAAATGATATCTCTAGGACTCTGGTTATAAAAGACAAGAAAATTGAGTACATTGTTCTTTTTATCCCTCTCTTTTCATTAATTATGCCATTTGTATATGTTAGCAAAATTTGTTATGTTTACATTTTGTTTTTATAACCATAGCCTTTAGATTTTAATCTTGATCAATTAAGATTTAAAGCATAGAGAGATGGTGAATATGACATTAACAGTGTTCTCTGCTTTGTTTCCAGAAAGATAATCTAAAAGTAGCCCAGAGGGCAACTAGTTTGAGAGGGTCCAGTGACGGGGCAAAACTAGGGTACTTGTTGGACATCAGAGGCAAGCATTGAGCACACAAGAAGGAATACTGAGGAAATTCAACTCCATACAACAAAAAGTGGGTAGGGAGAGTTGCTAGAGACTATGGCTAGGGGTGGCAGCATGCCATGCAAAACTCAGAATTGTACTCTCAGATTTGGGTGACAGCTCTGAGAAAGGTTATCTGAGTTGCATGGAGGCACCCTCTTAACTGAAGGGATATTGTGTGGAGGAGCTGGGGTGTGCCAGGCTTGCCAGGTTCCCAGGGAAGAGGATAGGGAAGTGGATGTACATCCCTTACCCACCCTGGCAGGACTGGTGCTAATCTGTGAAGCTCTCCGATAACAGACAGATGCAGGCACACAGGTCTGGAAAGCCCAGAGTGGAGTGTTTTCAAAGGTGCCACAAACACAAGCCCACTTCAGTACAATTTTCACCAGTAACTGGACCCCTTCAGAGATCTTACACACCTCCCTTCTCCAGCTACAAGTCATTTTCCCCCAAAACACAAGATACTGACAGGCCAAGCCAAAAAAAAGAAAACCTACAGTGCCATCTGCTGGAACAGTAGAAATTCAGCATCCTTAGAACATTTGAAAAGATGGCGAGCTGGAAAGCTACACAGTGGGCTGACAGAAAAATAAAATACATGGCACCTCGCATCCCACAAATCTCCATAATCTAACCACAAAGGCATTAGAGCCCTTTTCTTCCTATCAGATACAGATTTCAAAATTGCCATGTGAAAGAAATTCAAAGGAATAGAAAAAAACACAGAAAATATGATCAATGATATACAAGAAAATACAGAAAAGCAAATGGATGTCCTGAGAATTAAAATTAATGAACAGGCGATAAAATTGAAACATTAAATAAGAAAATAAAGGAGTTGCCGGATGTAAAACGATCATTAGACGAGATAAAATAATTCTTTGAAAGCTATGCAAATTGAATAGACCAAATGGGAGATTGAATCATTGATCTCAAAGATGGTAACACACAAATAATCCATGAGGAAGAAAAAAGAAATATAAAAGAAAAACTGAAGAAACACTATGAGAATTATGACTTCATTAGGAAATGTAAGTATAAAAATAATAGGTATCCAAGAAGAGGAAGAGAGAGAGAAGGGAACAGAAACTTATTCAAAGAAATTAATAGAGGAAAAATTCCCAAACCTGGGAAAGAACTAAATATATGAGTGCACGAAGCTAAAAGAACACCAGATGATCTCATCTCTCTTGGTCTTCACAGAATTGAAGAGTTAGGGCACAGGGCTAGATTAGTCCTTGGCTAAAATGTTATGGCTAGTTGGTCTTCTAACCACACCACTCAACTCTCTCCTTATCTGCAATCAGGCTGTTTTGCTTTTGCTTTTTTCATTCATGTATTAATTGAAGCACTACTTTTAATTTCTTTCAAGAACTTTTGCTTTGTGAACACAACTTGGCTAACTGGGCTCTTCAAAAAGAAAAAAAAAAGAGGCTGTGTCCTTGTGGTTACATGTCTCTATATTCTTTAAGCATTTCTTGCTTTTGGATATAAAAAGAAGTTCTGGATTTCCCTGCCTCTGTCCTAGATATTTTCTTTCTCCAATGCTCACTTTTAGTACAGACTGAAATTTAGAAATCAAGGTATGGGCGCTGATTGTGTTCATTGGGGGGATCGGTGATGGTAGAATGGGGGTTGGGGGTTCTGCTCCAAGGTCATTTCTGAGCTTAGGGAGTATATGTATATAGATAGATCATATACAAGTATTTCCATCTATGTTTAGTTGCATGTTTTGAAATCCTTACATGCTAATACCTGTACTTCGAATTCATAACCACAAGGTCCATGCTTATTTTCCTCCGTTATGTATTTGTATTCCATCTTCTGACAGAGAACTGATGCCTATTCTTTTTTTCCCCATTGTGGCTCTCATTATTCTTAATCTATTTGCATATTTGATCAAACCCCCAGTGTGCTTCCAATCTCCAATTGTTAGGGGGAAAGATGTCCTGAGCTAATCCCATATAAGCTTTGTGGACTCCACCCCCATATTCCAGACCAAAGCTATCAGGACACTGGAAAAGACAAATCCCATCACCACCAAAGGGAAGGTGGCTGTGACCTGAGGGTGGAGTTAAGCAGCCAGGTTTGGTATAAAAACCAAACACGTGGGCCTTGGGGTCTCTCTCTTGCGCTCGCCTCCTGGCTTCAAGGCTGGTGGCTCGTGGCCAGCTCTCAGAGTGCTATTTGGGATTCCAGATTGGCGGATCGGGTAGGACACATTTAAGACTTTATCTCCCACTTTTCTCCCTGAGTTGCACATTTCCTCATTTCCCCTTCCCTTGTGAATAAACCTTTTATTAACCTTTCGCGTGAGCCTGCAGTAGAGTATTGATAAGTCCCATTAAGCGTGCAGGTGAGGACCCACAGTCAGGCAACCCGTTTTGTATCAGGGCTGCCCTGTAACACTATCATTGCCTCTACTTCATCCCTTACATGGGTACCCTCTTCATCCTGTATAAGCTGTCACAGCACACACCAGGTTGGTAGAGCTGTCAGATTTAGGAAACAAAAATATAGGCTATACAGGTAAATTTTAGAATGTAACAATCTTTTAGCTTAAGTATATCCCGTGCAATATTAACATGACAATAACTAGTGTACAGTTCATTTTTCTTATTATAAAATGCATTATACTTATTTTGATCTTTAAGTTATTTTCTTTATCTTACTGCATAGAAGATCTGTGCATCTGTCATATCTGTCACATCTAGAACAATGCCGTCCTGGCTTGTAAGGCTTTCTTTTCTGAGTTCCTCTAAAACAAACAAACAAAAACAAAACCATTTAGTTAGAAAATGTCTCAAATCCTGTGCTATTTAAATTTATTGTCATCAATTTTTAGTTTATAAAGGCAATTGAATTAAGAAAATGGGCTCAAGAAAGTCTTAAGCAAGAGACACAATATTTCCCTTCCCTCCCCCCCTTGGAAAACATTGTCTTTTGAAACTATTTCCAGGTCTTTCTTTGAAAACATTATTATTTAAGCCTGAGTTTTAAAGCACTTTTATTTCACCTTAGTTTGCAGCAAAATTTCCCCTAAATAGAATGCTATAGAATGTTTAGTAATTACTTGCTCTCTAGTTGGCATAGGTATATAAAAACTTCAATAGAAGTGATATATTTATTTTCTGAAGAATTCACAAAATCCTGAAATGCCTATTGTCTCAAAGACCAAGATGTATGGATTATTTCAAGGTCCACTCAGAAAAAACGTAAATATATGAACAGTGAAAAAAATCTAAGTGGTATTTTTACAAAGATGTTTTAATCCACTGCCTACAGCACAGGGGAGAATTGAGTAACTATTACATCAACTGTGCAGAGTTAAGTAAGGAAAATAGGCCCAAAAGTAGATATGAAAGCTCTATGATAAGAAAGATACGGAAAAATATTTTTGAGTGAGGGGAGGGTCATTAATATTCATCATTTAAATAAGATTGCTTATTAATTTACTCAGTGCACTGTTAGACATATAAGCAAGCATCAGGCATATAAATCTCAGTTAGGCCATTCTGGACCATGTAAAAGAATGGCCAAACAGAAGAAATACATATACAAATATGTGAATATTAAACTTCTGAGTCATGTCTTTTTTTTTTTTTTGATACCCAATTAGCTATCTGATACCCTTGAAAAGCAAGTTTTTCAGTCTATCAAGGACACTCAGAAGTTTGTGGTTATTTGTAGATCGCATATCACTTCTCTAATTTCACTTTTTGCTATCAAAACACTTCAAGGAAAAAAAAATACATTTTTGTATTTTTAGATCCCTGTTGGGTCAGGAATGTGCTAACATGACCCTGGGGACATGCTGAGGGACGAGTCGTGGAGCAGGTTTGCAAGGCAAGACTCTGCTGCTCAGTGAGCAGCCCTCTTGGTGTTTATTAGCAGTAAAAAATAGACATGATTGTTTATGTGACAATGGCAGGAGGAGCAGTGCCCAGGGAGACAAAGGGAAGTCAACTTTATGGGGAACAGGAGGGGGCATGTTGGCCACATATACAGGGAGGACTTCCCACGCAGGTACTTGGTTTAATTTCTGAGCTACTTCTAGACCACCTGAGGCCATGGCCACACAATCAGTCAACAACAACCTAGGCGTCCCAGGCTGCCTCGTAATGTGGGCCATTGTCTTAAGGCGATCATGCAGGGGTGCCTTATCCAATTCTTTCACACATACACAGGTGCAGAGAGAGGCCATATATACAGGTGCAGAGGCCCCAAGTGTTAGAGAGGCCACAGATCCCAGCTAGAACACTAGCCTTCCAAAAATGTAAGAATTGATCTGGCCATATTTACCTATGTCCTAGTATACTTTTCCTGCCCTAAACCTTTATCACTGAAACACCTCCAACACAAAAACAGAGCTTATCCTACCTATCCCAAGACCCAAGGGATAGAGGACCACAACCTCTATACCTATGCAAAAAACTACTCACTATAAACACTGTCTTTAAAACCGGTAGCACAAGCCAATCACCCTGTGATCATAATGTCTGATAACTGTAGCCTGGAATAACTCTGAAAAGGCAAATAAATAAACAAATAAATATATAAATATTAGTCAACCAATCAATTAATTTCATACTGATCTAGAATACAATGGACCCTCTTTCTCCAAGATTTAAAGTTTCTGTTAGTATCTATATTGAATAGCCAGAAATGCCAGGCTATACATTGTCCATGATCAAAGGGTCAATCCATTTAGAAGCTTTAACAGCCATTAATATTTATGCCTCCAACACAGGAATACCTTCATACTGACCACACAATGTTTATAGGCCTTGAATAATTCCAGGTCAGTGAATATGATGGGCTCTATTTCCATGTTTAATTAGGCTATATAGCATAGTTGACCTTAAATTACAAATATTATCCAGGTGGACCTGATCCAATCAGTTGGGTAACTTAAAAAACAGAGTTTCTCTGGCTGGTCACAGAAGATAAACCAGGGATTTGAAACATTAGAAGGATCTGATGTGTCTTTAGTGACTTGAAAATGGTCAGAGACATGCATCAAGGAATGTGGACAGGCTCTAGAAGTTGAGAGCAATTCTTGGCTGGGACTCACAAAAGACATGGGGACCTGAGTCCTATAGTCACATGAAACTGAACTCTACTAACAACCTAAATGACCTTGGAAGCAGATTCCAGATAAGAATTTAGTCACTTAGTCCCACTTAGTCAGGGTATATTATTCTTTTTCTGTGTTTTTGGATTTGGTTTGTTTATATTTTGTTAAGAATTTTTGGATCCACATTGATGTATAGTTATGTTTGCTTGTGCTATCTTTTGTCTGGTTTGGATATTAGGGTAATGCTGACCTCATAAAATGAATTGATTACAGTTTCCTCTTATTTTTTAAAAGCGTTTGTAAAGAATTTGTATTAACTATTTAAATGTTTTGTAGAATACAATGATAAAGTGAAAAAAAAAAAAGAATTTAGTCAATACTTTGATTTGGCTTTGAGACTCTAAGCAGAGAATCTAGGTATATTGTGCCTAAACTTATAACCTACAGGTCTATTTGATAATAAATGGGTTATATTTTAAGACACTAAGTTTGTGGTAATTTATATGTAATAAAAGAAAACCAATCTGCATGCTCTAAACTTCATCCAAGATACCACAGTCTGTGGGCCTCCTTGGTGGTGCAAGGTGTTAAATCAGTACCATGAAGTTATCTTCATCACCAGTTCAATCCCTGGCCAGGGAGCTGACCCACGTGCCGCAATAGACCTCTCCTGTCTCACATGCTGCTCCCCTCAGCAGTGTAGTTCAGTAGACATGCCTGTTCTGCTTCACACTCTGTCTCTGGTGAATCTTCTCACCACCACCCACCACTGTACCTCTGGCCTACACCTCAGCTCTTGTATGCATATATATATATATATATATATATATATATATATATACACACACATATATATGTGTATATATATATGATACCACAGCTGTACTACCACAGAAACAATTGTTAAGAAGCAAGTTCTTGCTTCCACTTTGTACTCTATTTTTCCTATATTCCATTCACAACACAATAGTTAGATTAATATTTTTGCGTCTGTATGTTCTTTTCAAAACACAGATGTAATATCACACACTTGTTAAAGATTTTCCAATGGTTTTGCCATTACTTAGAATAAATTCTCAAGTCCTTCATATTTCCTGTGATCTTCTATTTGGTTAAGCTGTCACATAATTTACCTCAACTAGTAGTTCTAACCACAATTAATTATTTCTCGAACATGTTAAACTCAGTCTAAGTTCAGAGATTTTATACAGGTTGTTATTTCTATCTGAAACATTCTTTAGCCACTCTTTTCTCATTTGACTTTCAGCTCAAATGCCACCTCTTTTTTTAATCTGTATTTGATTTTAGCTATTTATTTGTTTATCTTAATATATTTTATGGCATATTTCAAAACCTAAGTAAATAGTATTTATTTATGTGTTCATTTATCATCTCCTTCTAAAACTATAAACTAAATATGGTAAGCAATTTCTTTTTGTCTTATTAGGAGATAGAACAGGAGATAGATTGTACATAGATGCTGAGTACATCAATGAATAATGGTACCTTAGACGAATGAATCCATTCTCTCCCTCTCCCACCAGTACCTAGTTCTCTAAATTTTCAATATTAATTGGTAGTCAATTTTCCAGTTTCTCTACATAATAGATAAATTCCAATGCTTCTAGTGTGTAGGAATGAAAGGAGGCTTAAAAATTTTTGCAGGGCCTCCCTGGTGGCGCAGGCGTTTGAGCGCCACACTGTGAAGCTGTCCACAGCCTCTGCAGCACGGGTTCGATCCTGGCCGGCCCCGGCAAGAATCCCACATGGTGCCGTAGACCTCTCCTGTCTCGCCTACTGCTCCCCTCAGCAGTGTATTTCAGTCAGTCTGCCTGTTCTGTTCCCCGCTCTGTCTCTGATGAATCCTCTCCCCCTCCCGCACATCTGGCCTGTACCCCGGTTCTTGTATAAATAAAATAAATCTTAAAAAAAAATTTTTTTTGCAATGGCTCTCCCAAACTTGTTTTGAGGTGCCTATGTTCAAAGTCTGCAAAGTTTTACAGCAGGAAGGGCCTTTCTGAGTCTAATTCAATTAGATCATGGTTAGGTTTTTGTCCTTATCTCGGGACATACAGTCAGTAATCAATATTCTTTTTCTTTTGGGTTTAGTCTTGAAAGCATTTTATCAAACAGAAATGCATTCTTAATTCTAACATGTTTTTTAATTTTTCCTGTTTACCTGACATACTAATTAGGCTATTTCTTCACATAGCTGGACATTATACTGCTACTACTTCTGTTATCATATTGGCCAAAAGAGAGCTTGAGATTTTCTAGACTAGGAGGCTAGATTTTCTATCCTCCAGACAGACATGGAGGCTATTCTAGAAGGTAGTTATTTCTCACCACAGAAAGGTATTCAAATAGAGAATATTCACATGGTAAGTAAAGTGGAAATAATTCAAGTTTTGTATGGAAAACTTGACAAGAAGACTTTTGAAGTACTATTTCAACTCTGAGATACTATAATGACTCACATGTGTGAAACTAGTGCCAATTATTAATGTAACTTCTAAAGGATAATCAACTAAAAGTATGCTTAAAGTAATAAGACTGATGTACTCCTGAAACAATTATTATAGCACATCTAACCTTATTTTCTTTTGCCTTTTTTTTATAAGGGAATAATCTATTTTGGAAAGTAATTTAAAAATAAATAATTTAACAATCCTATGCTAATTAGGCTAGATTATGAAGTAATACTAAAGTTAAAATCTTTTAGGAAGTAATTGATTTGTTTATATACAAAATGCCCATGTTACATGCCCGTATAAGACTCATTTCAAGATATAATGGAAAATATCTCAATATCCAATCTTTAATATCTTATATTTAACTTATAGCTCACAGAGACATTAGAAGACTATATTGAAACCTAGAAAAGTTTAATATTGAAAAATATACAATTTTAATATATATTTATTTTAATTTAAAGTTGCTTACCCTGGTGCGTAGTTACATATGAAAAGTGCTGCATCTTGAATACGTCCTATTCTTGGACAGGCAGTAACAGCACAACCAACTTTGTAAGTGAGATCCCAAACAACCTAAAATAAAAATTTCAGAGAAAACATAAAATATAATTCCAAACATTTATTTTGTATGCTACAAACAATAGTATATTGAATCCACATAAAACTTTAATCAAGCAGTTTGAGAATATAAATTACTCTTCATTGGATGCAGGTAGAAAATTGTCATGAATTAGGGAAGAAGTTTTAAAACTTTATTTAGAGAAATATTTTAATAGGTTTTGGCAATTCTGTATTCACAGGAGAAAGAATTTGAGAAACACTAACCCAGAATGATATTGTAGAGCCAAAGGAAGGCATCCCTGCTCAATAAATTTTCAACTTCTGGTTGAATCTGAAAGTTCTATGATATTGGTAGAAAGAAAAGGGAAAAGAGAGGAGAAAGATTTTGGAAGAAAAAAAGTTGTGAATAGAAGGGCGAAGAAAGCCCAAGATTATAGAAGAGAGGGAAAAGAAATATAAGATAGAGAGTAATGGAATGTTATTAACATTTCTCTTTCTACTTATGGAGGAAATTCCATTATAAAATAAAAGGGCTGTTCTTAAAAAATAAAAAAGATCAGGTCTATAAAAGGAAAAGCAAGTCTTGATATATGAAAATATGAGAATAACTGAAAGTATTCTTGAAATTTTCTGTATGGCTATTTCCATTAATTCCAAGTGGAAAAAAAAAACCAAAAACTTGTTTGTTAAGCTCTGTGGAAGAGACAGGAGTCATTTTTGTTTTTCCTTTTCTCTTTACCACAACCTTAGTGGTTTTAAACATGTGATTCTTAAAGAAACAGTGATGCATTAAAAGACTAGCTAGTAGAATGTCTATAGCAGTTAATGTGAAGTCAAATGCTGTAAACAAAAGTGTCTAGGAGAATAGAATTGGGGAATAAAAAAGACAGAAGAGGGTGATATGTAAAATAATTAGTGCATATATAGGAAATAAAAAATGGTTCAAAAGAGTATAAAGTGACAGGGTAAATTGTTAGACCTGAGGCAGGGAAATAAAACTATTAATTTGAATTAAAATATTTTAATCAATCAGTTATTTAGTAGTATGTATACTGAACATAAAAATACCAAATCTTTTCTTTATATTTATGGTCAGTGTTTTTAAAATAATTAGTCTGCTGGTTGCTTACTTCCTTTTCCAAATGCACATTCTTTTTAGAAAAACACCTTTCACCTTTGGATAGGGGATCCAATTTACTAGATTTAAAGGATTGTTTTAATTGCATGGTTCACATAATAGATGAAATTATAGACATCTTGAAGATTTAGAACTGCTTAGAATTTTTATTCTATTAGAAGTGATAATTTTTACCAGTTAAGTTTATTTATAAAATTGAAACATCATCAATAAAAACTTGGCAGTAAAGCAATTAAGACATCTATTAAATTAATAGTATAAAAATTATATACCTGCAGATAATTAGAACACTCTGATTTGCAAGTGTCATTTTCAAAGTCATAATTCTTCCTCTCTTCATACCAACTTCTAATGGCAATAGTTGCAGTGAACGCATTTTCAGGGCCGACCCAAATATTTTCACCAATACCGTTAAATACAGGATGGGCCATCTTTACTTCTTCTAAATGACTATTATGCTGAAGCAAACATTTTCTCCCCCATGCTCTAGCAGTCCGAGACAAAGCTACATCCCAAGTCTGAAAAAAATGCAAAAAGCAAAGAAAACAACGTAATGAGTTTTTTTGTGTGTACTCAAAATTATTTCCCTTGCGTGTTCACAGTTAAGTTTAAGGAAAACACATTTAAATTTGTGCAGATGGATCTTGTTTGCAGAATTTCTATGCAGGGAAAGTTTTTGGAGATAATCAAAAGTCAAACTACTACACCTTGAGAGAAAGGACTATGCATATATTTATAATTAAATCAGATTGTTAGATGATGCAAATGATTATAATAATCTTGTAGTCTGTTCAAAACAGTATAATCTTACATATAATCTGTTCAGAATATGTATTTTTAATCTCAAGCCTTTTCATATATAGTAATAATTTGAAATATTTATCTAAGAACTATCTTTTGAACACGGACTATATGCAAACTATTGTGAGGAGTAAAATAAGAAGTAAAACCTAAATTTTGTCATCTGATTGTCTACTGTTAGACTACCAGGGAGAGTCTATGTCCCCAGAAATGTGTGCCTTTGTCATTAGAGTCTCATTGAGTCCACTGTTTATAGTTAATCACAAGAACAAGAACAAAACACATAAAAAATCAATAAAATCAACAAATTAAGTTGCAAAACCAAAATATTGTGGTCCTATGTTACAGTATATCTAAAAAGTAGCAGCAAAAAGTTCAGGCTTTGGGGTGAGAACACCATGAGGGACAAAGCAGTCTTGGAGCAGGTTTGCAAGGCAAGACTCTGCTACTTGAGCAGAAGTTCTTGTGCCACTTATTGAAAGCACACAGGCCAGTAAAAGCTGATCACGTGACAGTTGTATGAGGAATAAAGTTCGGAGGGTGGGATTGGAGTCAAAGGAATTGGAGGGTGGAGGAATGAGAGACAAAGTTTTACGAGGGACAGGGAAGGGGACATCATGAGTCAAGAGATATTTGCGTCAGCAAAGTATGATGTTATCACAGGCAGAGTTATCTGAGACCACCATGGAGACAGTCACGTAATCAGATCAAGAGCGGCCTAGGGTGGTCCCAGGCCTGCCTCCTGATAAGGACTACACTCCTGTAGGTAGTCAAAGAATGCTCTGCTGTGATTAGCATATAGGAAATAGGTCACAGTTGCCTGTGAGTGCTCAGCTCATAGGAACCCACACCATACCAAGATTCCCTTAGATTATTTTATTTTCATAGATTATAAACAAATAATAGAAAATATATTATAGAAGATAAGCAAAATCGGCCTTTAGAACATCATTTGTAAAACAACTGCTTTGTACCTGTATATACACACACACATCAAACATCAGAAATGTTTAAAATGGGTACTTTATGATATTTTTCCCTTGCACTATTATAATCATAACACACACACACACACACACACACACACACACGCCCCGATATAATTGGCTTGTTAACTTTTGGTTTTCACTTGGAGATACTATTCCAAATTGGCACAATTGCCAATTGCACCAATCCAATGTTTTACAAACTCTATGTGATACTGAATACTATAAATTGCATATTATGTTAGCATTCCACTAGTAATAGCCTATTAGATTGCTTCTCATTTGCAAATAATGCTCCATGGACTATCTTTCTACTGCCTTATTTTGCATATTGTTTACACATCATATGTTTACTATTTACAGTCACTATTCTAAGTATTTTTGTGCATTATTTCACCTAATATTCACAATAACCCTATGCATTATTATTACTCTTTTGGTTTCACAAAGAAATTAACTAAAGCACAAATAAGTTCAATAACTTACTTCCAGCTACTTAATACCAGTATATTGTGGAGCCTGCATTTAAATCTGGAAAGCTAAATCTCATATCCAAGTTCCTAAGCAACTTTCTTCACTGTTTTCCATAATAGTGTGTATACATATAAGATAGTTCCAAATTCCTTTGTTCAAACTTGAATAAAGAAAAACCCAAGCTAAAAGTGAAGTTCTCTGTGATCTTTGACCCTAAAGATCAGTGGCCCAGACTTTCCGAGGCTGAGAGCTAGGGTCTATAGTGACAAAGGTTATCAGAAATTGGGGCAAAGACCCTTAGGACCTCACCATGAAGCGCAAGTTAGACGGTCGGGGATTGGCTTGGCCCCGGAGCTCATTGTGGATGTTCACGTACTCATTGATAAAGTCCACATCCTCTTCATCAGGCAAGAATCCCTCGTTCAAACCTGAACCCAGAAGTAATAGCCAGAACTCAAAGAGCCACAGCTTCAAAACGCCCCCTCGCGGCAGTAGGTGAGACGGGGCGGCCCACTCCCGGGCTGACCACCTTCGGGGCTCCATGGTCTACCGGCCACAGACAGGCCGTGGTCACGCGCACGCCGGCCCGGGTGCCCTGCCAAGGCGCGCGGCGGTGCTTGCCTAGGAGAAGAAGCGAGAAGTTGGAGCAGAGCCAGAAATGCGGGCTGGTAAAAGCTTGTTTTTAACTGTCTAGCCAAAGAGGCGTAAGTTAAGTGGGTGCAGGCTTTTCACTGAGCTAATGTAGCTCAATGTTATTCAGGGTGGATTTCTGCCATCAAATGCTGTGTCACCGTTTATTAATGAGCCATTTTTAAATGTCAATTGCTAAGTTATTAACATGTTATTAAAGTTATTAAAGGTCAATAGCTGAGTTATTAACATGTCAGAGGAACCTTCTAGTTATGGAAGAGCAAATGATCATTCTTCAGCGATACTGACGAAAATTCCATTATTTTTTCCCCTTCTTACTTGTTGGAAGTTTGATGCAGGTCACATCCTATTATTTTCCTTACGAACAACAAGAAAATATTCTAAAAAGGACTTCCTCATTAACTGAGATTTTTTGCTTACTTACTTATCGAATCCACAAGATAAATGGAAGAATAAAAAGCTCAGCATTTAGGGGATAGACTAGTGATCATTGATTCTCATAAGGTTGAAATATATCCATTTCTTCTCTCACTAGTACTGTATAATAGCCTGAATATCAGGATTCATCTTATCTGACAAATTGTCCTGTTCCTAACAAGGTTGAATTCATTTTTGTGTTCATGTCTTTCTTTCAATGACCTGGTGTTTTTACCTTTTGCTCAAAAAAAGCTTGCTTTGAAGAATATACCATCTAGACACAAAATAAAAGAATTTGTTTTTTGGGAACACATGTGCTTTGCATTTATAACATTGTATTTAATAGCATCAAAGAGATACTCAAAGTCATTGATACTGGGACAGAATTTTGCTACAAAGAAAGCATTTCAACTGTTGGCCAAAAATCTTAAATGTGCTTTGAAAAATGATCTATGTTGGACACAAGTTAAAAGCAGGAGGCCTGAAAAGATGGCTTCATTTATGCCCTTATTCTTTTAGTAAGTATTTACTAGGCAATATGTTAGGTGGTTGGGAAAGACCAGCCGGCAAGACACAGACCCTTTTTCCAAGCAGATTACAGTTTAGAGAACTAGTACATAGGTAACTTTTATTCCATGACATAAATACAAAATCAAGACACTTTTGCAGCATGTTCGGTGCAATACTCTTTTTGAGGATCAGGGAGGTCTTTCTAGAGAATATGACATCAAGAAGGTGAAGCACACAGGTGAAACAGCACATTTTATTTTATTTTTCAAGTTATTTATTCATTTGCACAAGATCCGGGGTACAGGCGAGATGCGCGGGAGGGTGAGAGGATTCACTAGAGCCAGAGCGGGGAACAGAACAGGCAGACTGACTGAAATACACTGCTGAGGGGAGCAGCGGGCATGGCAGGTGGGGTCTGCCATGTGGGACCCTCGCTGGCAGGCTGGGATCGAACCAGCACTATAGAGGCTGCAGACAGCTTCACAGCGCGGCCCTCAACTGCCTGCGCCACCAGGGGAGGCCCAAACAACACATTTTAAACAAAGGGAAAGCTTGTAATAGGCTAAGAGTTTTAGTATAACCGGAGCCTATTGCTGGGGGTGGTGGTGGCAAGTGCTGAAAAATGGGCTTCCTTTTTTATGTAGTGTTGTTAAACTTTGAACATTGCTCATTTAAAGCACAAGATAAAGAGAATAATGCAATTATAGGGGGAAATGTTAGACACTTTTACTAGTCCCGTGTATTAGGCATATTCTCTGACATTTCATTATATATGGAGTAATTTCTTTAGTAAACTATTTTTTTTTATAGAGGCATATTTTATTTATTTATTTATTTGTTTGTTTATACAAGCACTGGGTACAGTCAGAAGCGCGGGAGGGTGAGAGAATTCACCAGAGCCACAGCAGGGAGCAGAGCAGGCAGAAGGACCGAAGTACACTGCTGAGGGGAGCAGCTGGCGGCAGGAGAGGTCTGCTCTCCATGTGGGACCCTCCTCCGGTGGCCGGGGAGCAGCCGGGGATCGAACCGGCGCTGCAGAGGCCACGAGCAGCTTCGCAACGCAGCGGTCAACCGCTGCGCCACCGGGGAGGCCCTCTTTAGCAAACTATTGCTATTAGCTTAACTATTGCATTATGAAAATTAAATGTCATTTATTCCTTGTGGTTTGCAATAGGCTAAGGTAAATTTGCATATATAGGGTATACTTTACTATATGTTGTATTATTTTCTTAGATTTTTAATTTAACTTTTTCATTAATAATTAAAATAGCCTCTGATTTTAAACATTATTCTATGACTTCTTCAGATGTCTCATTCATACAAAAGCATATGTTTCCTCAAATCAGATAAATTGAAATGTGTTACAGAATACATGAAAAGAAATTGTTATAGAATTATGTTGTCTGATTTTGAAGAACTATTTGTCAGAGTATTAAATTGGCACTTGCTAGTAATGGTGGTTCTCAGAAAATGGGATCTTGTAGAATTTTCTTTCCTTCTTTCCTTCCTTCCTTCCTTTCCTTCCTTTCTTTCTTTTCTTTCTTCATACAAGAGCTGGGGTACTGGCCAGAGGTGTGGGGGTGGTGGTGAGAGGATTCACCAGAGACAGAGCAGGGAACAGAACAGGCAGACTGACTGAAATACACTGCTGAGGGGAGCAGCGGGCGAGACAGGAGAGGTCTGCTGCGCCATGTGGGTTGCTCCCTGGCCGGCTGGGAATCGAACCTGCGCTGCAGAGACTGCAGACTGCTTCACAGCGCTGTGCTCAACCCGCTTTGCCACTGGGGAGGCCCTGTATGAATTATTTATAGATCTTGGCTATTACCTCCTTGATGGATGTATGATGTGCAAATATTTCATCCAGTTGGTGGTCTTTGTTTTTATTGATAATTTCTTTTGCTGTACAGAAACTTTTTAATTTGATGTAGTACCAATTGCATGCTTTTGTTTTCTTTCTCTTGCCTTGGAGTCTCCAGAGACATCACTGAAGCCAATGTCAAGGAATGTTTTATCCATGTTTTCTTCTATGGATTTTATGGTTTCAGATCTTATGCTCTGTCTCTAGTGGATTCTCCCACCCTCCCACAGCTCTGGCCTGTACCCCAGTTCTTGTGTAGATGGATCTAAAAAAAAAAAATTATAGCTGAGGGAAGATGGTGGTTACTTTAGTTGAGAAGAAAACAATTTAGATGACTTAGTTCACAGGAGTCAACAATTCAGTGTAAGTGGTTTTTGAAACTGGATTAATTGAATTGTTTGGGTTTTTAAAATTTGTTCTTCAGACCAAAGAAATGCTAAAACTGACTAATTCTTTGCTTTGTGGAAATGTTGCTAACCACTAACCACACTACAGATAATTTTGTATAGGTTTTAAAGGCCATAGTATCTGAACCCTGTTATTTTACACAAAGCATATTTAAAAATAAAATATCCTCAAGGAATGTGATTTTAATTTTCAGAACATATGCTTACTTTTCAAATATTAAAATTTCCTTTTTGAGTTTAGTTGATTATGACCATAATACAGCATTGCTTGTTATCTAAAACTTTTCTTAATAACATTTTGTTTCTGAAATATGTTGATCATATGTATTCTTTAAGGAAACTAATGGCATATAAAAAGATATCTCAAATGTTTTTTAATCTATTGTAATTAATATGATAATCCAGGATATTAGAGAATGGAACTGTTGTTATATCTGAAATTATGATTAAAAATTAAGATTTTTTTTTACTGCTACACTTCTACTATGCTACACCTTTTGAATTACAAAAACATTAAATTTGGATACCAGATAAGGGTGTAGAAGTTTTGATAATTAAACAGATGAAAGTTATATTTTGTCATAGACTGTTCTTTTATTGTCATATATGAGAAATTATTTTGCATATACATGCTGATTAGAATACCCTCAGAAGATTGTAAATTAGGCACATTGCTGTATATACTATGCACTGAGATGCTGAATTCCACTTTGCAGCTGCGCCGCCTATAAAAAAACACAAACACACATAAACACATACAAACATACACAACAGTTCAGAGCTCAATTTAGTTTTAAGGGGAAGAAATAATTGAACCAATACAGAAGTATTTTGATGTACACTTTGATGTTTATAAGCTTCTTTGTTTTCTAAACTACAAAAAATTTATAAAATTATAATTTTGTAATAATGTCCTGCCAACAATTTCACACCAAATATTTCTTGCATGCCTCCTAGACTGAAAGCACAAAAGTCTAAAACTGGCAAAATGATATTTTTGACATTCTGCCATTCTTATTTAAAGTCCCTGGAAAACAATGTTGAGTTTTGGGGATCCAGATATTTCTATTAAACATCACACTCACTTCCACACGACCTCTCGAGCAGAAGAACATGGATTTCTTGAGATGCTGGGGGGCTTCCGACAAAGCAAAAGTCAAAACTGTCAGCACTCTTAAATTTGACAAAATCAAGGAGAGGAGAAATAGTCTCCACTTCTTGATGGGAGGAATTGTTGGTGAAATTAAAGACAATTCACCATACCAAGAAACTGGGCATATTATTACAATCAAGAGAAAACTAAACATAACATTCTCAAAACTAGAAACAGACCCACAGGTGATTCAGATGCTGGAGCTAGAGGAAAAGGTTGGTATATTTGAGGGTGGTGATGTTGTAGCTTATTATATCAAAGGAAGGTTAATAAAAATTTTGATAGAGAGGGGGAAGAGCCAGACCACACTTGGGTTTGCCAGCCATGTAATGCAGTCAGATTTTTCTATAATTGCAATAAGAGGCAATTGAGGAATTAAGAGAAAAAGTGATTTGACCTGATTTTCTTCATATTTAGCATAGAGCAGGGAGTGAAATGAAATGGGAGACTACAGTAAGTCAGGTGAAATGTCAGTGTCTTGGATACTGGAAAGGGGAAGTAAAATAAAGAGTATATTATTGTTAATTTTAGATCCCTGTGATGGGAAAACAGAGTTTCCGTATAGGGTGTATACAATGTATTTTTTAAACTGCTTCGATTAGAATCTGACATTAGAGGGATCATACTTCCAATTCATTCTCTAATTGAAATACAACATGAATACAAACATGGATACCTCATAAGTGGGAAAACTGATAAATCCTGTTATTATGATCTTTTTATTACACTTTTCTATTACAAAGTGAACACACCAAGTTAACCAAAACATAGGCCTGGAAAATCCTGGTGTCTTCTAATTAGTAATCCCTCTTTTCTCTTCAAAGGAAACTGTGACCTGACTCCAGAGCTAGATTAGGTGTTGCCTGATTTTGAACTTTATATGAAGTGAATAATTTAATATGTATTCTTTTTGTGTCTGTCTTTCATGTCACCACTTCTTTTCTCTTTTTTCACAAATTTCAAATAATCTCTTCATCCACTTCACTGTCCTCAATCAAGAATTTATATATTTGTCTTTAAAAAGTTATCTTTAGTTTGAGGAACAAAGGCTGATAACGAAGAGAAACCTATTAGTTTTAAACCATAATTAATTTGGATATAAATTAATGTATTACTTCTGAGTGGGCCACTATTTTAATAATATATAATAAAAGGAGGTGAATGGACACAAATACAAATAAGAAACATTTCAATCAATAGTTATTTCGGGCATAGAGTAAACTAGATTATAGTTTTACCTCACTCCTTTCTCCTCTTTAGTCTGAGAGGGATTATCTGAGTTTAAATATGATATTTATGACAAATGGTTTATGTCATTATAAAGTGGCAATCAAATTTTGACTATAATCTAAAAACTTGAACCAAATTTTAAAATACAATGAATTTATGGAAGATTTGCTTTCCAAATAGAATGTTATGCTTATTTTTTTTTTCCTTTTTACTTACTGCAGAGATTGTTTTCACAAGTATCGTTTACTTCACACATAGAGCAGGGTGTTCCTTTAGTGTAAGGGGGCGTATTTGGATAATTTCCTCTGTAAAAAAGAAAGATTGATTAGCCCATATAGATATTAATTTCTCTAATTTTGTGCATGCATTAATGCAAATTGTTTTAGTTACTAAGTCATGAGTTTTGAAAGGAGAAAAGAACAACATTGTCACAATTTATTTAAGCAGAAATTGCTGGACTCTTAAAACTCTTCCTGACTGGATGTCCCTACTCCTTGTGGCAGTTATATTCTTGAATATCCTTTAGGACACAAATTAGATGTGAACCCAATGTAATTATTAATGTGACAGTCACAAAGATTTTGCAATCACTATTACTATTTGATTTAATAAATGGAATAAACAAAATTTAAATTGCAAATGAAAACTTATGGTTTAATCTAAAATTAAAAATACAATATCACAGTCCTTAATTAGCTCTATTTGGTGAGGTATCAAAAAGATTTTACAGGGCCTCCCCGGTGGCACAGCGGTTGAGCACTGGGTTGCGAGCTGCCCACAGCCTCTGCGGCACCGGTTCGATCCCCGGCTGTTCCCCGGCCACCGGAGGAGGGTCCCACATGGCGCACAGACCTCTCCTGCCGCCCGCTGCTCCCCTCAGCAGTGTACTTCAGTCCTTCTGCCTGCTCTGCTCCCTGCTCTGGCTCTGGTGAATTCTCTCACCCTCCCGCGCTTCTGACTGTACCCAGTGCATGTACAAACAAACAAACAAACAAATAAATAAATAAAACATGCCTCTATTAAAAAAAAAAAGATTTTACAGCTATTATGCCTGCTTTTCAATAATACAAGTGGATGTATTTTAGCAAATGCCTTATTTTCCATCTGTGTCTATGGAAGGCTTAAAAAATGTTACTTACCTAGAGTACATAAAGAAAAACATTAGTAACATGAGTAATATTAAGGAAATACTAAAATTGATATTTAGAATTAAAGAAAATTCCACAATTTATTTATCCGTTCATGTGCTTATGGACAATTGGGTTGTTCCAGTAGTTGCCTATTACAAATATTATGTTACTAGGCACATTTTTGTTTTTGTTTTTGTTTTTTTTTTTGGGAGTGTGGGGTAGGTGCCAGTTTTACTAAGCAAGGAAATTTTTTAAAATTTCTATATATAATTTATATAAATTTACATCATTGTTCATTTTTAAAATATATTTACTTTTTATTTTTTACATTATTGCTCATTTTTAAACAATATTTGCTGCCCCCCACCCTCTCAGATGTAGTCCCCATAGAGTTTCCTTCACTAATGCACCATGCACCACCACCTCAGTCCCTTTTGCTCCTCCCTCCCTCCCTCTCATCCTTCTCCCTCCTCTTGCCCTGCAGGATGTCTCTGATTTATAGTTGTCCATTTTTGCATCATTGTGTTTTGTACTGTTATTATTTTTTACCAGGCACATTTTGCACAATCATATGTAAGTCTTTATATGGACGTACATTTCCTTGTACAAACACCTAGGAGTGGAATGCATCATACATATGGTCCATGTATGTTTAAGTATTTAAGAAACTACCATATTGTTTTCAAATTGCAGTTGTAAAACTTTAGCTTTCCATCAGTAGCATGTGAGAATTCCAGTCTCTCCATGTTCTCCTTGGGTTTTGGAATGGCCAGTGTATGGCAGTTTTATTTCTTTTTAAAAAAAAATATTATTATTATTATTATTATTATATTCAGTGTGGCTTTAATTTATATTTCCCTAATAATTAATTATATTGAACTCTTTTTGATGTGCTTATTTGTCACCTGCATATCTTCTTTGTTAATCTTTGGTCCAGTTTTAAAAAACTGGCTTTTAAAAAAGTTGTCTTGAGTTTGAGCATTCTTCCTTTATAGTTGCTCCCAACTTACAATGGGGTTACATAAAATTAACCTGTTGTAAGTTGAAAATATCCTGTGTTAAAATTGCATTTAATACACCTAACCAAGCATCATAGCTTAGCCTAGCCTATCTTAAATGTGCTCAGAACAGTTACATTAGCCTACAGTTGTACAAAATCATCTAACACAAAATAATAAGTGTTGCCTACCTCATGTAATTTATTGGCTACTGTACTGAAAGTGAAAAACAGAATGGTTGTATCCATTCTCACATTGTCATATACTTCTGAAAGCACAGTAAACCTGAAGAATGTTTGAAGCATTGAAAATATAACACAATATCCAGGAAACAACATCAAACAAAAAAGCCAACAAACACTATATCATGGGGTTTCCCTCAGTTGGGTCGGGAATGTGCCAGCAGATACATGCGTGGGACAGGTTTGCAAGGCAAGACTCTGCTGCTCAGTGGGCAGCTCTTTTGCTATTTATTAGCAGTAATAGACAATCATGATTGATTATGTGACAATGGCAAAGGCAGCAGGGCCCAGGGAAGACAAAGAGTAGTCAACTTTATGGGGAACCGGAGGACAAAACACATATACAGGGAGGACTTCCCATGCAGTTTCTTGGTGTAATTTCTGAGCTACTCCCAGAGCACCTCAGACCATGGTCACGCAATTGGTCAATGGCTTCCTAGGTATCCGTGGCTGCCTTGTGATGTGGGCCATTGTCTTAAGGCAGTCATGCAGGGTGCCTTATCCAATTCTTTCACACACTCAGGTGCAGAGAGAGGCCATACAAACAGGTACAGAGGCCCCAAGTGGGAGAGAGGACACATCCCTTTTTTACCCTGGTGTTCATGTGGCTGACTGGGAGCTCAGGCTCTTCTTGATCAGAAAATATAATTAATTGTGTATTGCTAGTCTGGGAAAATGTCAGAATTCAAAATCTGAATAGTTTCTACTGAATGCATATGGCTTTCATAACATTAAAGTAAAAAAATTGTCATTTGAACAATCATAAGTTAGGGATTGCATGTATTCTCAGCATAAGTCCTTGACTCGATATAGATGTGTTGCAGAGATTTCCTTCCAGTCTGTGGCTTCTCTTACCAGTGTCTTGGAACAGTAATAACTTTTAATTTTAATAAAATACAATTTGTTAATTTGTTCTTTTGTGGATCATGCTGTTGATGTGGAAGCTAAAAAATATTTGGTGACAAAATATTAAGCTAAAAATTTAAGGTGACACAAGTTTTATTTATGTTTTCTTCTAAAAGTTTTCTAGTTTTAGTTTGACATGGTGTGTGATCCATTTTGGGTTCATTTGTGAAGAGTATATGTTGTATAGACCCAAGTTTATTTCTCTTCTTTTATATCTGCATGATAAATTCTTCCATATAATTTAATGAAAAAAAATTTTTTCTGCTTCATTGGCTTTGCACATTTGTGTAAAATCAATTGAAAGTATGTGATAAATCATAGGTGGGTTTATTTCTATACTCTGTATTCTATTCCACTGATTTTTTTGGTCTAACTTTACATAAATTTCTTAATGTGATTATTCTACCTTTAATAATTCTTGAAAACAATAGTGTTAGTCCTTCAATTTAATCTTTCAGAGTTGTTTTGGCTATTGTATGTCCTTTGTGTTTTCACATGAATTTTATGATCAGCTTACTGATTTCATTAATAAAAGATTGCTAGGATTTTCACTGTGATCGTATTGAATCTGTACATCAATTCAGTGAAAAATTGCATCTTAACAATACTGAGTCTACTAACCCACTAACCAGGTATATCTATCTGTGTCATTGTTAATTTCTCCCTTGAACTTTATGTAGTTTTCTGTGTACATGCTTTTTGCCAGATTTATATCCCTTTGAATTAGTGGTTTTATATTTTTTAGGTAGAATTGCTGGATCATATGGTAGGTCTACATTTAATTTTTTTAATTAATTTTTTACTAATTAAATTTTTTCTTACATCATTGTAGTCCCCATAGTTTTCCTGTCATCTTATCCCCCATGAACCATCACCATATTCCCTTGTGTTCTTACCATGCCTAATTTGCCACCCCTCCTGTCCCTTCCTTTGCTGTATGAAAGTTTATTATGGAAAAAAGGAACAGAAATCAAGTGGGACTCCCAGGCAGGTGGAACCAGGCCAGGGAGAAGGAGCAAGGAAGCCCTGCCTCAGTTCTATGGTTACAGAACACAGCAAAACCAAAGCAAACAACCCAGTCAAAAAATGGGCAAAAGAACAAAAAAGACACTTTTCCAAAGAAGAAAGGCAAATGGATAACAATTACATGAAAATATGTTGACCATCCCTAGTTATCAAGGAAATGCAAATCAAAACTACAGTGAGATACTACCTCACTCCAGTAAGAATGGCTCCTATCTTGAATATTTTGAGGAAACTTTACACTGTTTTCCATTCAGGCTGGAGAAGTTTGCATTCCCACCAATATTGCACAACTTTTCCTTCCTCCCTACATCTTCTCCAATACTCATTGTTTCTGGTCTTCTTGATGTGGGCCTTTCTCATAGGTATGAGAAGTTCCCTAATTTTGTTTTTGATTAACATTTCCCTGATGATGAGCATTATATAATTATCTTTGGAAAAGAATAAAATAATATGAAAAATATCCTACATTTTTACCTATGTAGTTATCTCTCCTGGTGGTTTGCAAATACTTTATTGAAAGCTATTTTCATAGGATCTAGAAATCTCAGTTGATGGTTTAAGAAACTACTGTCTTCTGTCTTGCGTTGCTTACAGTGAGAACTCTCTTGTCATCCTTATCTTTGCTCCTTTGTTTTTAACATGCCTTTGTCCTTTAGCTGCATTTATAATTTTTCTTTTGTTACTGGCTTTGGAATTTTTTATTATCAGGTGAATTTGTGTAGGTTTTTTTTTTAAAGATTTATTTATTTATGCATATAGGAACTGGGTACAGGCTAGAGGTGTGGGGGGTGAGAGGATTCACAGAGACAGAGTGGGAGCAGTGGGCAAGGCAGGAGAGGTCTGCTGCACCATGTGGGTAGCTCCCTGGCTGGGAGTGAACTCATGCTGCAGTGGCTGTGGATAGCTTCATAGGTTGTAACTTAACCCCTTGCGCCACCATGGACTCCCTGTGTAGTAGTCTTCAGGCTTCTTGTGACTGGGACTTGTTAAGCTTCTTGAATCTGTGAATTTATAATTTCCTGAGAGCTTGAAAAATTACTTCAAATATTTTTTGGCCCCACCTCTTTCAGAATATTAATTTCCACTGAAGTTGTCGCATAGCCAACTAATGTTCTTTACATCAATTGTGGAGTCTTTTCTCTCTGTATTTTATTTTAGATGATAATAAGCACTGAGTAGTTCTTCAGTCTCTAGTATTTATAAAAATTGTACTCTGCTCCAAACTTTAAGACCATTAATTTGTTGTTCTTGTTTTTGCCTCTAAGAGAGGATGAAAAAAATATTCAGAAAGATATTTACACACACGTACCTCTTCACAACAATTTTGACTTAGCTTTTGCTTGCCAGTTCTTTATAATTATTCTTTGACTGTGTTTTCATCTTTTGTACATTTTATCCTTTTTAATTTTTGTTAAAGAGTTGGATTATTAACTGATTTTATCTTTTTTTCCTTGTACAGCTCTATTGGGAATAGAGTTCCAGAATTTCATTTTTGGAACGTCTTTTTAGGTTAATATTGTATTTCCATTTACATGTACAATTATCAGAAAGGCAATTAAAATTATGGACTTCTTTTCTTAGAGGAAGGTGCTTTTCACCACCTTTCTAAATAATTGACTCATTCCAAGTTATGTTTTCTTAGAGAAGCCTCTGCCAACCTATTTTGTATTCCACTATTTAGCTACTACTGTGGCAATACATTTTCTGTTATCTCTTTTTTTCAATTTAGCAGTGTCTTCCATTTTCAAGTTTAAATGTTTTATAACAATTATAATTCTTTACACATGTAACATTCTCTTATCATTTACTGTTTTGATCTCTTTCTTTTGATTAGTAATGTAGAGGCAGACTTCTTATATAAATAATATATTATCTCTTTAGTATAAGATCTTACTTTGGGAAATGATTCTTAATATGTCTTTAAAACATTAATTGAAACATAAATTAAAAATATTTTAACATCAATTGAAAATATATTTTAATTGCAAATAACTTACGGAGGTGCATAGTTGCATACAAATATTGACGTTTGACCGATTCCCAAGTTAGGGCATAATGAAATTGCACAACCAACTTTCTTTGAAGTGGCCCAAACTACCTATAATGAAAGGAATTTTAAAATAAAATACCAAAACAACTCTATGCCAATTAATGCATTATAAAAACAGGAACAATATTGTCATACTAGGAAAAATGAATATATATCAATATCTATTATTTGGCTTAAAACAATTATTTTGTGAAGGCTACTCTCTCTCTCATGACAGTGACTTCACTAGTTTTTCCTTATTGATAAATTCCTAGTCTCATAAATCAAAAGGCGAATATTATCTATAATAAACAACAATAATTCTTCTAGATGATTTATGAGATGTATATTTTAATTTTATCCATGGGCATATAATATCAGCAATATTAAAAACAGCTTATAAATATAAACAATTGACTTTATTGCTTTTTCTCAGAAAGAACATATTTATGATCACATTAAAAATTTTGTGTTTTTTTTTAAAGATTTATTTATTTATGCACACAAAAACAGGCCAGATGTATGGGGCGGGGGGTGAGAGGATTCACTAGAGACAAGAGTGGGGAGCAGAACAGGCAGACTGACTGAACTACACTGCTGAGGGGAGCAGTGGGCCAGACAGGAGAGGTCTGCTGCACCATGTGGGTCACCTTCCTGGCTGAAGTGGCTGCTGATAGCTTCATGGTGCTGTGCTTAACCCCTTACGCCACCAAGGAGGCCCCCAATATATTTTGGTCTTAACCATGTTCTTATCTTTGTTAAATCATAAGAGACAAATAGAAGACAGATAAGAATATATTGTTTATTGCCAAAACATGTCTGCCATGGAGATGGTGAATCTCTAGTTTTGTTTAGTTGTAAAGGATAACAGTGCTATGCAAAGTAAAAAGACTTCTTAGGAAAAAGAGCTACGGGGAGAGAGAGAAAGAAGTGAAGAATATTACTATTTCTTTGTGACAATGGCATATTTTTTTCTTCATTCCCCCCCCACAAAAAATGCTGATTTACTCCATTTGGAAAATGAAATCCAAGGAAAACTGATATAAATCTTGATAACATAAATCTTTCAACTTGGAAAATATATTAAAACATATCTTATAAACTGATCTTTTAGTAATTATTTCCCATGGTCTGGGTTTAGCCAGTTTTCCAAAATATATTTTGATATCTCTTTGTATTGCAACAAAAGTACAATGAACAGAGTTTTGCAACAAAATTTTGCAACTAACCATGGTGACAGATGAATTCTGAGTTAATTTCCCACTTAATAAAATCAAATTAAGCTAGATTCTTTAAAAATCCCTTTCCATTGTGATGTTTAGAATATGAATAAATTGTATGGCTTCAAGTTTATATATTTTAAAAAATAAACCAATGTTTAAAATTTTGGTTTATGAATAACTGACTACGCTATGAAATCCCATTTGTTTAATATATTTAAATCATTCTTTTTTTTTTTGCTTTGGGAATGGTAAAAATATTGACTATATATAAGTTTAATACGTATTGCTTTCATTGAAGGGGTTGAACATTGGTTATTACTTCAATATGAACCTCTGTGGATGGTAAATGAAAGAAACCTTTAGCTCATTTTGTTTAGAATACTAAGCAAGACGTAGTAGCTGCAATAATGAGAATAACTCACCCACTCCAAGTTATTTAAGCATATGTGTAAATTAGCCCTGAGGAATGAACTTCTGTTTCTGATGTAGCAATGCTAGGAGAAAGGGAGTAGTGTTCCTTTTTTTCTTGCAATAAAAGTGAAGACAAGGGACTGTGTTAAGCTTGTGACCCGGCCTTGATGCCATATTAGGAATGTTGCATTCTGCTTGTTGTTAGGACACCTAACATTTGATTCTATTCTTTCATTTTCTAGCAATGACCAAAATATATTCTTTGCAAATATCTATCCTCAAAAGGGTTTCCAGATTTACAGTATCCTGTTTTTGGGCAAAGAGTGAATTGAAGGGAGTACAAGAGCTGCTAATTTCTTTGTTCACTGCACCTCTGGCAAAAACGACTTGTTGGGCCTCCCCTGGTGGCACAGTGGTTGAGTGCTGGTTTGCGAAGCCCCAGCAGCCTCTGCAGTGCCAGTTTGATCCCCGACTACAGGCGATGGTCCCACAAAAAAACAAACAAACAAACAAAAAACACTCAATGTTAACTCAGCTTACACAGGTGAGTAAGTTTGGAAAAGAAAGTTAGCTATCAGTATTGTTTGAAGGGACTTTCCTGTGAGCTCAATGCCATGTTTAGGATTAGTTTGGCTAAATAGTGAATTCTACTTCTTACCAAAATTATAAGAACTAATCTTTTTCAAGATAGTGGATATTAGGTAACAAATGATAATACTACTTGAGTGTTAGCAGAAAAGAATATGAGCTATACAGTTGTCCCAGCTTACTTCTTTGAGAGAGTTTGTAGGACATAGCTGTTGAGGGTGGGGTGTGGGGAAGCCAGGAGGAGCTTAATGGATTCACATAGTTGAGAGACAGTCTGTGGAGACTGGAGAGGCAGGAGATTAGAGAGTGTAATACTGGAGATGTGACATAACTGTAATGATTACAGATGGTCCTCATCACCACAGCACTAACTAGAGCATGCATGTGAAGAAATTAATCTAGAAAGAACCTCTGGGAAAGAACCTCTTCTAAAAACTGGAGGAAACAATACTGAGGCTTGTGCATGGCCAGGGATAAGCTTGCTACCAGCAGCAAGCAGGAAGCTCTCATAATATCTGGGGCTTTTGGGAGACAATACAGAAAAAGCTTACCTCACTGGTAGATAATTCACTGCAGAATAAAAAATGCTTTCCTTCCACCTGACACTTTTTAAAAGCAGGAGCCAAAAGGATCAAACAAATTCCAGATAACTGTATGCCAGAAGACACTTCAAGAACATTTTCATGTACATAAATAAGGCCAGCATCCAACAAGGAAAAACCCAATGTGATAAGATAGAAAATTTTGGCCCATAAAGAAGAAGAAAAATGAAGCCAATGAAAATAACCCAGAACTAATATAAATGCTAGAGTTAGCAGGGAAAACAAAATCATGATTACAACTGTATATCATATGCTTTACCAGATAGATGAAAGATTAAACATACTAGATATAGTTATTGACAATATAAAAAAGACAAAAACCAAAAGTTTAGAGATACAAACTTCAACATGGAAAAAAAATAGTCATTTTCAGTAAATTAAAATTACCGAAGAAAAGGTTAGTGAACTTTAAGATAAAGACACCGAAAAGGGGCCTCCCTGGCGGTGCAGGGGTTAAAGACAGTGCTATCAAGCTGTTGCCACTGCCACTGTCACCACTGCAGCATGAGTTCCATCCCCTGGGAATTCCATCCTTTGCCCTGCCAGGGAGCAACCCACTTGAAGCAGCAGACCTCTCCTGCCTTGCCCGCTGCTCCCCTCAGCAGTGTATTTCCGTAGATCGGTCTGTTCTGCTCCCCACTCTGTCTCTGGTGGATCCTCTCACCTACATCATATCTGGAGCCCGTACCCCAGTTCTTGTATGCATAAATAAATAAATCTTAAAAAAAAAGTTCAAAGGAAATGCTAATAACATTGTAACTGAAATGTGCATAAGTAAGAACTAATTAATAAAATGTCAAATATTCACCTGTGTATAATGGCCACAAACTGAGGAGCATGATAGCATATCAAAATTATAAACTGCATTTTCACTATACCAAGATTCTATAGCAAATTTTGGTGAAAATGTTCTCAATCCACCTAACCAGATATTTTCTCCAATATGTTGAAACATTGCATGGCATCCATATGGTTTTGATAAACAGCTGTTGTGTTCAAATTTGCACCTGTCTGCCCATGCTTTGGCAACCTTCGCTAAGCCGGCTTCCCAAGTCTGAAAGATAAAAATAATTTAAAATTGTGAGTGTTTATTTTGGATTAATGATACTTGTAGTCAATTAAATTTTATTTTAACAAGAATTTTTCTTTGACAGTATATTCATAGTTGGTAATTTCTTTTTGTCTGTGCTTCAGAAATAGTCATTTAGTACTCTACATATGAGAGTTCCTTTTTGTATTTGCAGAACTTAATCTAATAAAATTATCTTAAATATTTCTTCTACATGCATTAAGAACCATTTATGACAATGTTACAATTTTTGCTTTAGCTGTCAAATGTAACTTGGTATATATAAAAGAAGTATAATTTATTATATTTAGCCATATTTTTACTCTTTTCTTTGTTCCTTCTTCATTCCTGTTGTTGCTGCATTGTCTTACTGACCGAAGAACCTTCCTTAGCTATTCTTTTAGAGAAATTTGGCTCATGATAAGTCATCTTAGTTCTGATATTGGCTATGTCTTAGTTTCACCTGAGTAGAATTAGTTGTCTTAGTTTCTCTGGATAGAATTCTTAGTTCACACTTTGAAAATGAAGTTGAAATTTTATATGTTGTGCCACTTTGTTCTGGTTTCCATAGAGTTGGATGAGAAATTTGATGACATTGAAATTGTTTCTCTCCTATAGGTAATCATTATTTCTCTCCATCTGTTCTTACAGATTTTTTTTTTTTGTCTTAAAGTTGTTGAAGTTTGATTATGACGTACTTTGGCATGAATTTCTTTGTTTATGTCTTTACCCAAAATTTGGAAGTTCAGCCAGAATGCCACAGTCAAGGTAATAAATATAAAAAGACCTTTCAAGAGTTTCCTTATGTCTCTTTTGTTTTGTTCATTTTTGTGTAAGTATATAAATTTTGAAGTAAACCATTACTAATATAGTAAACTATATTGCACTACGCTATATGGAAGATCTCTAGAAATTATTTATTGAACATAACTGAAACTATATAATTGAATATAACTGAAATTGAATTGAACAACAGTGTCCCAATTTCCCCACCCCTGCCCCCTAACCCCTGGCAATCAGCACTTTATTCTTTGCTTCTGAGTCTGACTATTTTAGATACTTCAGATAGGTGAAATCATGTTGTACTTGTTGTTCTGTGACTGCCTTATTTCACTTACAATGTTCAGCATGCTTTTCCATGCTGTTACAAATGGCAAGATCTTCCTTCTCATGGCTGAATAATATTCCATTGTTTGTATATATGTATATATACATATATACCTGTAGGTGACCTTTCTTTCTATATATGTATACATATGTATACAAATGTATACAATGTAATTATATGTGTGTGTGTATATACAATGTGTGTGTATAACATTTTCTTTATCCATTCATTTGTTGATGGATATTTGGGTTGAGTTGTTTCTGTAGCATGCCTGTAGTGAACAGTGCAATGAATATGAAGGTGTAGATATCGCTTTAAGATTCTCTCTTCAAGATCCTTATTTCAATGATTTTTGGATATATCCCAAAAGTGAGATTCTGGATCACATGATAATTATATTTTTTAATTTCTTGAATCATTGGCATGCCATTTTCCATAGTTGCAGCACAATTAACATTCTCACAAACAGTGCACTATTGTTCTAATTCCCTACAACCTTGTGAACATTTACCTTAAAATTTATTTGTATTATTTTAAATCACTTCTGGCAAAACAAATATTTGCAATTAAGAACAGCAATTTCTTAATAAAATTTCTAATATAAAAGTAATATTCAATGATATGTGGTGAAGAGATGACAAGAAAATAAAAGGACGGAAGCTATCTTAGAATAGCAAGAAATTCATTAGATACCCTCTTATGCTTCATATTGGGAGCCCTTGTTATTGCCTATCAATGAACCTGCTAGGGATAGGAAGCCCCCCCTTGTCTCAGAAGAACTGAATCCTAATCACCTTCTGTACAGCTGGCACAAATAAGAAATTAAACTTTGTTTTGCTAAGCTACTGACATTTCAATGTTTATTTCATACTATTGCTTAGACTGACATCTTATAAAACTTAGTGCTGGAAGAGGGGAACAGCATAATAAAAATATGAACTCATGTTCCCCTGAGACCTAGGCAGGAGGGATTCTAGCCTTTATAAGATATCACATCTCTCTTTCTCTCTGTAACAACAACCCACTCGCCCCCACCAAACACCACACACAATTTATTATTAAAAGTTTCTCAGCACAGGTTCAGGGTGACCCACAACGCTGGACATTTACATCTTTTGCCACGTGTTCTTAAACCAAAAGGCTTCTTTAACTGAATGGTAAATAGATCTATGAATATTGTTGTTGATATTATATAGGAATACTCTTCAGAGTCAAGAAAAATATGAACTGTGCAAACTTTGAAGAAAATCCCCTGTGCAATCCTCTAGTCTTAAAGTTGACTCTGAAGAACATGAGTTGGTGTGATGGAACCAGGATATAATCAGGGAAGGCATTGCATGGGGAAGAGGTAATATGGAGAATAGTGTAGCTGGTATTAGACTTTGTGAGAGTGAAATAGTAAACCTGTTTTAAGTGAAACAAATACTAAGTGAGACAAATAGTGTATGATTTCATTTAAATGTGAAATCTAAAAAATAAGCCTGAACTAACAGGAACAGGCAACAGATTGGTGGCTGTTGGAGGTGGAGCTTGGGGGGGAGATAGATAAAATGGGTGAAGTTGGTCAAAAGTTACAGCTTTTAGTTATAAGATAAATAAGTTTGAGGAATGTAAACTACAGCATGTCCTTTCAGATGTAAAGTATGATTATAGTTAGCGATATTGTGCTGTATATTTGAAAGTTGAAAAAATTCACAAATTTGAAAAAATTCTCCCCACAAGAAGAATAAATGTATCTGTGTGTGTGTGTGGGGGGGGGAGATATTAACTAAACTTATGGTGATAATCATTTCACAGTATAGGCATATAGCAGACTGTTATGTTGTACACTGTAATACAATGCTGTATGTCAATCAAAAAAGAAAAATATTTTAGGGTTTGTTTGTTAACACAACATAGTCTATACTGGCATGTAGAAATTGTTATGAGGAATGAAGTGCCTAGTTTTTCTGGATGATTCAGTCGTGGAAGACAGGAGAAACTCCTGTTGAAGAGTTAGCCAACATTTGGCATTTCAGCTCTGGCCAAGATGGAGTAACAGGAGAAGGTTTATCTTAGCATTTGAAGAAACAAGACTAATGGTATGGACACTTACGATTTCTTGGTATCAAATGTACATGAAAGAAAACATTATAATGCAAGGGAAATTCCCAGCAATAAATACCTAGTCAAGAATTTGTTAAGTTTGTAAATTTTATGAATGATATTAATTATCCAATGTTTTATCTGCTCACTTCAATAGACAAATATTCTTTTGCCTTACTGTCTGTGTGATGGAGGCCTATAAAAGACAAAATGAGTTCAATGTTTCTTGGAGTTAAACTTCACATATTTATTATTTTTCATGAAAAGGAAAGTCTGATATTTTTCTAGTGCTGATTTCAATATTTACATCCGTGTAGAACATTTTTTCCCCAAATGAATACTACACAAGAGTGTTATTTCAACTGCAAGTTCATAGGATTTAAAAATAAGAAAGAACAAGAGAATCTTCATCCCTGTGCTACTTATTTAATGTGTAGTATATTGGTTGTGTGCCTGGGAAGTGCTAGCCAAAATGTGAGGGAGAGGAATTTATAAGAATTACACAGGAGCCTTAGGGATGCAGACCAAACAACTTCCACTCCTGCCATCACCCTCCTCTTCTCCCCTCCCCCAAAACTTCCCCCTTCCCCCCTCATCTCTCTCCCTGCCCCATCAAAAGGTAGCTGGGTGTAGGCAAGGAACAACTTCAAGTTTTCCTTTCTCATCCACTCCCTGGAGACATCCAAGGGGTGATTTTGACAGCATGCTGAATATGCAGGCCAAATTCATGAATAAGTCCGGGTAATTTACCATCCAGATACCTTAGATGTAACCACAGGTGTAAGACCTCAGCCGGGTTCTCTCACCATGTATTTCATGTCGGCTGCTGGGGGTGAGACTTTGCCACGCAATTCATTGTGGGTCCTGACACACTGGTTTATAAATTTCCTGTCTGTGATGGATGGTATCTTGGGGGAAGAGTCGCTAACTACCGGAAAGAGAATTACGGTCCATAAACAACTCAATTTTCCTGTCAGAACCATGGTGGGATGCTGAGACAGCACAACCAGTAACGGCTGTGTGAGTCAGTCTTCCAGGCCCTTGGGGACCGCGCTCTGGCTGGCTTCATCCTCCTGCACCCGGCAGTGCGCGCGGCAGCATAGACCCTCGTAAAGCACCTTCATATCAAATTATTTAACATATAAGCATGTGTTTATTTTTTTTTTTCTTTCTCCAGATCTCAGCCTGGGAAAGGAATACCCGACAACGCTCTATAAAATATGCTACACGGAATTCATTTAAATGAAGAATAAACACCCCCCACCCCCCCCACCCCCGGGCCAGGCTTTGGCTGTCCTCTGCTTAGGATAATCCGCGATGAGTGAGTTCGTTCCAGATCCTCGCCGGGATTTGGAGGCGCTGCAGAGCTGTTGTGCAGAGTCTCGGGCGGCTGCACCTGTACCTTCACCTGCGGCTGTGGGGTGAGTTATCCCGCTGTGGCGGCGGGACTGGCGCCTCAAATTTAGGAGTCGGGAGCTGGCGTGGACGGAGGGAGAGACTAAGGCCAACGACCGACCTGCTGGTTGAGGGGCTTTAAAGGCCCTGAGCGGAGGCTTTTTTTTTTTTTTTTTTTTTTCCTGGTGGTTGAGAGGCCTTAGAGGACTTGCGCGGAGACTCTTGTTGCTAGGCAACCTGAGGACGCCTGTCTGGATTAGTGGAGCATTTGCCTGTTGCTGTCCCCTTCCAGCTTGTGTTGTGTGAAGCTGTCCGAAGAGTGTTCTTGGTAGTGTAACTCTCGCTTATGCTTTTTCCAGCTCTGCCATTCTGATTCTGGGTTCACTCAGCTGGTTGGGCCTAGTCACCCGGACTATCCTTCTGTCCCACCTAGATGGTGAATCCCAGATAGGGGGAGGGTCGAGCGTTCATTCTGGTGCGTTTGCAGATGCCCTGAAATTTGATCACAATTTTGGGGTGATATGGGGGTAATTACTCTGCTTTGTTTGAAATTAGAAGTGTACTCCTAAATAACTGTACTCCAAAATAGGCTTGTCACCCCCCCCCATGCTTTAATACTAAAATATATCACAAATCGCTTTTTCCCTGTCTTTGATTGTGGGTTAGATTTGGTCAATTTATTGTTTGCTTTGATTTCGTGTAAGCAAATTAGAGCTACTGATACAACTCACCAAGAGAGAGAGAGAGAGAGAGAGAGAGAGAGAGAGAGAGGTGGTCCTTGGAATTGGAAATAACCCTCCTTTAAAATGGGCATGAGTTCAGTTACTTTTGGTTGTACCAAAAACATGGTAAGAGTTGGATCTGTTAGTTAACAGCGTTCATCATATGCTAGAAGTAATGTCTAGTAACTTGCTGCCCGCCATTGAGTTGGAGACAGAACGATTTGTATTTCGGTGTAGTTCTGAAATAACATTGTCAGGATTGGTGGAATTTGCTTATTTAAGAAATATTTATTAAGTTCCTATTGTTTTCTAGGCTTTCTGCTAAGTGCTGAGAGATTGGACAAGCAAAGCCAGTGGTGGTTGCCTTTATGAGGCATCTAGAGTAGTGGAGAATAATAACCACTGAGTATCATTCTTGCTTTAAATGCTTTCACTAGTTGTTTGAAGACAAAATTTAAATGTGATCATGTCATTCTTGGGTGTAGAGAAATGAAACTAATCAGAATATGTTTAAAATGTGTACAGGTATTCAACTTATTTATTGAATAAATAAATATTAAGTATCTGGTATAGAAAGGAGATGAGATGCCAATTTTCATGGGCTGTTAGAGTGTTGAAAAAAGTGGTGTTGTCTGTCATGCCGGTGGAAGTGATAGGACTTGGACATTTGAATATTTAAATTTTGCTGTTTTTATGATTTGCACATAAATTATATGATTTTAAGTGATGGATAGTGGTTTGAAATAGTTACTGAAGCATAAATAATGAATTGTGTGGCTGATGTGTGGAGTTCACTTCGCAGATGACTCAGCATCCCTCTCTTGGTCTCTCCAGCTTGGGTTTGCTTGCTGACCTCTCATCATCACGGTGAGTACAGCGCTTCTTGTATGTGATAAATCCCTCTCCCTACACCAAACCAATAAGAACTGTAAAAAGTTCCTTCTTTGTGAACGATATCTCTGAAAAGAAGCCATCTGCTAGAACTGTAGGAGTATTTTCAAATCTAGTAAATTGCGATGACTTTAAAATGTGTCTGTTATTGGTTGATAAGTCTTCCTGAATACTCTCCTAGAAGAATTCCAGGCTTAGGGTATGGGATTTCTCGGGGCTAGGGCTATGAAAATGGGGTGAAGGGAGCCATTTAGATAAGCTAGTAAGAAATTGGGACTCTTTCAGGTAAGAGGATTTCATTGTGCTTTTTAATAATAATAATAATGATGATGATGGCTACATGTATTGCTTAACCATTTTCCACGTGATATGAGAGGATGAAAAAGGTGTTAGCATTAAACTAATTTTACATATAAAAATATTAACTCAGAAAGATTCAATTTTTTTTTTATTTTTTTTATTTTTTGTGGGACCCTTGCCGGTGGCCGGGGATATGAACTGGCACTGGAGAGGCTGCAGGCAGCCTTGCAACCCAGCACTCAACTGCTGTGCCACCAGGGGAGGCCCAGAAAGATTCAATTCTTAACCAGCAAAGCATACCTTATGGGAAAGCACCAAAAGTGAGGATTTTAACTCAGTCTGTGTGATTCCAAGCTTGCACTAACTAGCGCATGCTATCTTTATATAAAAACAAAACAAAAATATTTTACTATTAGAATAATTGCAAGTCTATAATAGAAAAAGGATATGTGAGTGAAATATAAAAATGTATCCTTGGTTACAACAGATTGAACTATAAGATATATAAAATTTGGATGACAGAGATAATCATCTGATTTTTATTTTATATGTGCTTGCAAGTTAGTTCAACATCCACTTGCAAACATTTTTCCCATCATCCCATAATTACTAATCAGAACATTCACTCCATTTTATTCTTTGCATATATAAAGAATACTGTTTATTAAAAATATTTTCATCGCCTCTTCTGGCAAAATCAAAACTCATAAAGGTTTAGGAAGAGTAAAGAAAATAAATATACATTACTTTGTGTGAGGAAAGAGGTACTTGCATTAGTTTCCTGTTGCTGCTATAAAATATTACCACATATATGCTGCCTTAAATGAAAATTGATTATTTTACTGTTTTGGAGGTAGGAAATATCAAACCACCCCTAGAAGGCTAGAATCTAGATGTCAGTAGGGCTGGCTCTTTCTCAGGGATCTGGAGGAGAATCCATTCCTTGTTTCTTCTAGACATTTCTGGAGATTGCTCATGGCTTCTACATCCATATTCAAAGCTAGCTGAGTAACATCTTTACTCCTTTCTGACCTATGAATCCATTCTTGTGTCTTTTCTTTTTCAGTCTGACCATCTGTCTCCTTTTTATAACGACTCTCTGGTGTTTACATTAGGCTTACCAGTTAATCCAGGTTAACCCCTACATATTAAAATCCATACTTTAACCATATGCAAAATGTCCTTTTTGTCATATTCACAGAGTCTAGGGGATTGGGTCATGGAAATCCTTGGGGAATCATTATCCATATTTGTATTTGCCCCGTAAATATTATCCCACATAATGCCACTGCCCTGCAAAATTTGATTTGGTGAAAGATGAGTAAACCATGTTTTCTTTCATGTGCTTTTATTATATCATTTGTATGATATTTAAAAGTAGTAAGAATTATTTCATATGTATTTTACCTTTTTCAAAGTATACTGCATAAAAATACATGAATTTGAATGGATTTAGAGGTTAAAGGAGTTGCTGCTTCTCCTACAAGTCAAACACAGCCTTTCTCTGGAAAAAAGAAGCCATTACATGTATGTATGCTATATAATTTTCCTTTTCTATGCAATCCATTAATTGATTTCTTTCTTCATGACCACTTATGCTCACAAATATTTATGATCATTATTTCCTAGAGTTGAAAAACCGAACCACCAAAAGTAAAAATAACTATTTAAAATTGACCACTGCTTCAGGTGGTTTTCTTTTTCAAAATTAAGCTTAAATTATTATTGTTTTCTTATCTAAAAAAATCTTCAGAAAATATAAAAAATAAAAAGCATAGTAGAAACTATCAATATATATTTTGTTTTAGCTAGATAGGGAAAGAATAGGAGCTTATGTTGTTAGGACTTTTATTCTCAATGCTCATAACATCATTGTTGAATCATGACTTAGTTAAGTGTGAGTTTAAAACTTCTTTGTCCTGTTACCTGCCACATATTGAATAAATACAAAACTTAGATTAGAAATTCATTTAAGTGATGTGTATTTCCTTGTTGTTTTGTTCCAAATGTTGAATACTTACTGCTATTTAACAATCATGTTTCTATAATTTTTATCATTTAATTCTTACAACAGACCTCTGTAGCGGGCATTAGCCTGCTTTTAGGTATGGAACAAATAAAATGAAGCTTCTAGAGATTAAGCGATTTTGACAGGGTTTTGAACTCATCTGACTTCAAGATCTGTGCTTTTTACTCTGTTTTCAGCTGACTCCCAATATGAATAAGATAGTGCTTTGGGACTCTTATGGTTCATAATATTATGGGTTAAATTTGAATTATTTGATAATTTGAATCAAACCAACCCTTCCTTTCAGTCAAACCAATAAGTACAGTATTCTATCTTCTCTCATGGATAGTTTGGTTACCATATTATGGAGCCTTCCACTTCAACAGATACGTTAGTTTTTTCAATTAGCATTGATTCATTGCTTTCTTTTAATGTGTAAATAAAGGGTTTATGCCTACTGATTCTTATTTTTTTAAACTTTATTTTAAGGAAGGATGGAATTCCAAGTCACGGTTATTCCACGATCCTTGTCTACCTGTGTAAGTCACATTACTTCACATTAAAACAGTTTAATAGTCAAATATTTATAATACATTGACAAGGAAAAAAATGAAGATTATCTTTCTGTCAGTCTACATATATATTGGTGCAATATATAATCTTTAGAATATAGATAATAGTGAAGTACAGTAAAATTACATGTATGTGTGTATGTACATACATTAACATACATATATGTGTATGTGTGTATAGTGAGAGAGAGAGAGAAAGTGAGTGCGCAAGCGTGCCCATGCACTATCCTTGTGAACTATGGAAAAATTTGTATGCATGTGAATGACCTGAAGATTTTTACATCAAAATTAAAGTAGCTCTTATGGTAGGATGGTAAAATTAAAGTTAATACTTCTCATTTCATATTTTCTTTAATATTATTTCTATGTTTTATTGAAAAATATTGCTTTATTTATAAAATTCAGTTAAATGCATTTACTAAAGAGGTAGAATTTTTCCTTTTATAACGGGGATAGTTAAAATGAATTTAATGGTAAGTATATCTATGCTTGAATCTTGAATATCCCATTTTTTTCAATACTAGTATAATGCTTTTATTTATTTGTTTATTTATTTATTTATTTTAAAGATTTATTTACTTATACAAAGCACTGAGGTACAGGCCAGAGGTGCGGGAGGGTGAGAGAATTCAACAGAGACAGAGCAGGGAGCAGAACAGGACCCAAGTATACCACTGAGGGGAGCAGCAGGCGAGACAGGAGAGGTTTGCCTGGCATGTGAACCCGTGTGCAGAGGTGTGTGCAGAGGCTGCAGCAGCCTCACAGAGCAGCGCTCAACCCGCTGCGCCATTGGGGAGGCCCTAGTGCTTTTATTCTTAGGCTAGAAGATATTATGTTTTATACTTAACATTTTTACATTTTAAAATTTGGAAGGATTTTTTTTTATAGTCTTTCAAGTGTTTTACACTGCAAGGCTTCTTTGGAAATAGTGATTTGCTGGTCTGAGCCAATTGACATTTTTGTAAATTAAGAATGGGCAAATAGTCGCCATTTCTTGTCAGTCTACATAATAGCTATATTTATACTTGCTTAGACATAGAGTTAGATGCAAGTGCTAGATACAAAATACTGGCTGTAATACAGTCTGTTTTATACTGATAAATGTATAACACATGGTTTTCTGAAAGTGCACTATAAATTTTACTTGTTATTATAAATAAAGCTAAGTATATTTTAAGTTGATTATAAATTTTACTGATATAAAGATATGTGGCAAGAAGTTTACAAATACTGATAAAATGTTTTATACTTCACTCTTAATTGTAAATTTCATATAGCTAATAGATACAGGATGGTTTCTTTATTTTAGCTAAACTTTTCCATCTGTAGCCAACCTATGATTGCAATTGATAAACCAGTATAGTTCCAAAAGGAATGTTGGTTGACATTTACATTTATTGCAGAGCAATGTGAGTGATTTCTTTGCTGAATCAAATAATAATTTTGAACACCTATGTATTTCTTTATCTCCAAAATGGGCATAGCAATCTTTTCTCTAACTTTTGAAAGATTTTATTGGTAGACCTTAAACAATAAAATAGTAAAACATTCAAGAAATTTTTTTTCTGGCATGCAGTCTTATAACCACAACAGCGTACAAGACTCAAATAGACAATTCCTCTGCTGAATCTCATAGTTTAGAAAGGAGAAAGGCATTAAACAAGTTACAGAAATCAACATGCTATTTATGAATTTGGATAATCCTGATTTATTGTTTAAAGGTGATAAGGGAGTAAGAAGGCTAAAACATTTAAAAGTTGGCTGGGGTTAGCATTTGAACTCTCAGATATTCCTGATGCTGTCCTTAGTCAATTGCTGTCTCTATCATGGCTTGTACAATATTATATTTGGTTACATTTTTCTGTCCTCCAATGTACTATATTTAAATATTTCCTTAAGATGAGACAAATTGCATTAAGTAAAAGCACTAACTTACAAAGAAAATACTTAAGGTCTGGAGATTAGATTTCCTGGAGGAAAGATTTACTTTAAACATGTAAGAGTAGATAGCACTCCAGAATTCAGATGGCATTTAATATGTAAGTTACAATTTGAAAATTTCAAACTGTTTTAGGCATTTGGAAATGATGACATTTGAGAGACTTACCTGGCATCAGTTTTATAGCCCAGTTGGGAACAGTAAAGAGGGTTGAAAGAGATTAAAAATGTAGGATCATTAAATGAAACCTAGAAAAGAAAACTACAATTTTATTTGTAACATTTAGGTTATTTTCATATTGATAAAGTGAGACTTCATTTCCCTATATTTAAAATACAACACTTCTACCACATAGTGGTGCTGTAGTTCTAGGGTATTTACATGTGGCTTTATCTATAAACCTCTTTCTAAAGCATTCTGTTTTCTAAAGGTTTTTGCTTGTCATGTAAATGATTTGGTTGAATAGTCACATTCCTTATATCACTTTCATCAATTTTAATTTTCTTATAAGTGAGACAATTGCAGTGTGATCCATTTGTGCATAGGAGTTCTTAGTTTCAACTTCTCTTCTTAAACAGATGTGCTAAAAGAACAGCTACATAAAAGAGGCGTTCGTATTTTGACTGGATTGGGAAAATACCTGCAACAGTTGGACAAAGAAGGAAATGGACTTTTAGATAAGGCAGATTTTAAGCAAGCACTAAAAAGGTTTCACTTAGAAGTGTCTGAAAAGGTATGTACTGCAGATCACTCTGTGGAGTGGATAATATGTCATTCTTAGGTCATGTTTTTCATTTTTCTGAAAGGCAGGCATTGTTCTAAGCTCTGAGAAGATCTACTCTGGACTCTCAAGGTCTTCATAATCAGAGAAAAGAAGATAAATGATTATAAATATATGGTACATGTTAAATAGAGAATGCTTTCAGAACTCACAGGATAAATTCCAAGCTAGATATGGGAAAAGATCATGGATGAGTTCCTGCAGAAAGATATAACTGAGCTGAGTTTCAAAGGATGAAGAGTGTGGATTGGATCATGTATACTTCAGGGAAAGGGAAAACCTGGAGGCTTGGAGGGGAGAGGGTGTGGCCTGTTCCAGGAATTGCACATGGGTCATCCCTCCTGTCTCCCTGCCCTGAGCTCTCCCACGCCATCCCCTCTGCTGTGAATAATCTTCCACCAGACCTTTGCATGTCTGGATTTTTCCATCAGACATGTTTTCTGTACTGAGAGCCCCAGCCTGCCACCCCCTGTCACAAGGAACATCCCTGTCTGATCCCGGGTCTTCTGTATACCATTTACCCATTTTATTTTATTTTATTTTCTCCACGCCACACTCAGTGTTGTCTGATCCTGCCTGTAAATAGAATGTAAGTCCTGTCAGTGCAGGGACCAGTTGCTTTGGGTTTCTTGCTCTATTTCTAGCACTTCAAATAGAACCTGGCATACAATACAGCAAGTACTGAATAAACAGACACTGCATTAGCTTAAATGGAAGGAAAGAAAAGAGAGAAATGGAGAGAAATAAGCCTGGCAGGGTCCATTATGTCAAATCCTTGCATGGCTGTGCTAAGAAATTTGGATTTTATTCTGAAAGTATATGAATTTGAAACACATCTACCTCAAGGGTTTCAGATAAGGGATTTTTTTTTTGCTTCAAATGGTTTTGCCACAGTATATTTTGTGGAAGGAAGACGAGATTGAATTGATGAGATGTAGGTTCAAATTCTCACCTCACTACTTCAACTGAGATCATGAAATCTTTGAACTTTTCTGATTGACAGGTCCTCCCTGCACAATCCCAAGATAATACCTACTTAGAGTTGCTTTGAAGCTTACGTGAGATAATTATGTGAAAATATGCCTTAACTCTAAAATTCTTCTTTTTTTTGATTTATTTATTTATGCATACAGGAACTGGGGTACAGGCAGAGATGGGGAAGGGTGAAAAGATTCACCAGAGACAGAGTGGGGAGCAGAACAGATGGACTGACTGAAATACACTGCTGAGGGGAGCAGTGGGTGAGGCAGGAGAGGTCTGCTGTGCCATGTGGCTCGGCTCCCTGGCCGGGATTGAACTCATGCTGCAGTGGCTGAAATTGCTTCATAGAGCTGATGCTTAACCCCTTGTGCCACCAGGGAGGCCCCCTCAACTCTAAAATTATGTGCCAAAGTGAGGTTGCTTATAGTTGTGACATACCTGTTTTTTGTGTTTTTACACAGTCAGCCTTGTGACCCACCTAGTGACACACACTGAAGGTCCTCAGGATCATCTCAACTTCACTGCTTCTTTCATAAATTAAAAACAAGAAAGCAATAGGAAATTAAAATCCTCAGTGTCTTTCTCTTCACCATTAGGCAATTAATAACTAAGCAGAGTTAGACCCAGATAATCTGGGCTAGTCTAGTATACTCTTTTTGCTTAACTGCAATACTTCCCTTTTTGATTGACATGCTAAACTTTTATGATTGGATTCAGTAATGAAAACTAAAATAATTATGGAAGAAATCTAACATAGGATACGTATTATGAAATTGGAATAAGCTTCTACTTTTTCTCATTTAAAAAGTAATATTGCCTTTTTTTTGCCCTGTAATGTCACTGGAGACTTCCCAGGCAATGAGAAGCAAAAAGTACATAATCCCCGACCTGGGTCTAATTGTGGGACTAGTTTGCAGGAAGGCATAGTCATTGCCCCTGATTTTGAAATTAAAAAAAAAAAAATGATATGCAACCTAAATAGTCTAATTTGCATAGAGATACTATCAATGAATTTACTGCAGGTCTTTTTTTAAAAACTGAATTAGCATATTCCATTCTGTGCTCTGTCTTAGGAAGTTAAATAATTTTTTTTTCTGTTTTTCAATTCTTGAATATTATTTTTTTCAACTTCCAAATAATATCTTTTTATTCTAGCCCTCCATTATTTGGTACTACACTTGATCTTAGCCAAAAGGCGGAGAAGCGATAGTCCTTCATTATTTGAATGAGCAAATTCATCTTCTGTCTGTGCTACTTATGCTTATAAAAAGGTCAAGTTCATTTTTGTACTTCAAGCTTATTTACAGACACTTAAGGTCTGTGTCATGTACAGGCATCATGACAAACAAACAAACAAAAAAAAATGGTATCCGTTATTTAGATTTAGGAGGAAGCAGGGCATTTCAGGATTTAGATTTTGGGGCTTCCCTGGTGGTGCAAGGTGTTAAGTCTCAGCACTATCAAACTGTCTCCAGCCACTGCTGCATGAGTGCCTGGCCAGGGAGCTACCCACATGGCAAAGCAGTCCTCTCCTGTCTTGCCCGCTGCTCCCCTCAGCAGTGTATTTCAGTAGATCTGATTGTTCTACCCACTCTGTCTCTGGTGAATCCTCTCACCCTCTGCATCTCTGGCCTACACCCCAGTTCTTGTATGCATAAATTAAAAAAAAAACTAAAAAAAAGATTTAGTTTTTCTTATTAAAGCTTTAATTTAAAAAAATTAAGAGGAAGTAGAAGAGAATATTTTTTTGAGTACCCATTACTTGTCAGTCACCTTGGTAGACATTTTATTTACATTCTCATTTATAGCTAGCAGTGACTGAGTCACTGAAAATGTAATTACCTGAATTTAAGAAAATGCCAGGCTGTAATTTCTTTATGGTTAGGAACTCTTTGAATTGAGAATTCCATTAAAAAGGGATTTGTCAAAGAAGTAAATGGTAATGGTAAAATGAACAAACTGGCATAAGGGATTTAATGAAAATAAACCTTTCAGTGTAAATTAATGGAATAATAGAGGGTCATTCAAATTTCCTATACTTTCAAGGGTGAAGAGTAGCAAATATACAATTTGTGATCCCAATGCTATTGGAGGTATTCCAAACCTGAAGTGACTTTTTAATGGTCACCGATATATTATACATTAAAAATAATTAAATGTTCAAGTCTAAATAAGTGATAAACATTTTTTGGGGGCCATAGTAAGGAACTGAACTTAAAAATATTTATTCATGACTTATTGCCATTTTTACATGATTATTAACTTTACAGAACTTTCCAGCAGAGTTCCTTGAGTAGCTTTCTTAGTGCTTTTGCATTTATATATAACTTTTTGGGGATTTTCTTATTTAGTCTGCTACTTTGTCTAGGGTAAAAAATAAAAAGATGTACCAAAATACAATTATGGTGATTGTTGTTGAGGCCATGTAGAACTTAGAGGTGTAACAGTGGTCTCTATGTGATTATTTCCAGGATTTTGAATCTCTATGGCTAATTCTAAATGGCAATGGCAAGGTTGATTATGGAGAATTCAAACGTGCCATTATTGGTGAATGAATGAATATAGGAAATCATTTGTTCGAAAGGTAACTTTGTTAGGTAATATTTCAAATAAATAATAACTTTTAAACAGTTGCTAGTTTTGTTACTTAAACACTTTAATGAATTATGATTGAAAATACTTTTAAATCCCTTTATCTGTAATATTTTGGTTTAGTAAAGCACAGAGAATTATATATACATACAAATCTTCCCAGATAAAGTAAAATATGTATATTTTAGGGAAATAAAATCTGAAATAAATTTTGATTCAAAAATTACTTATTCCGGCTCCATAGCTCAGGGGTTAGAGCACTGGTCTTGTAAAAATTACTTATTCCATAAATTTCTGTCTCCATAAATTACTAGCTTTATATAAAACTATTTGTGTTTTTAAATATCTGAGTTTCAGTTTATTATAGAGTTTGTATAAGGATTGAATAAAATAATGCATGTGAACGCTTGGCTTTGTGTCTGACTCAGGGTGAAGGCTCATTATGTATTATTTTAGTATGGTGACTAAAAGGTGTTTCTCTGATTTTTACAATAAATGTGGCAAATATTATAGTGAAGATTATAATGACCACATTGTTAGAATTTAAAGTTTGCTTTGATTTTTTAATTTTTTTTTATTTTTATATTCCCCACACAGTTACAACCCCGATTTTGACCCCAATCCCTCTTTTCCCCCCACCCCCCTAAAAAGTGTCTCTGGTTCATAGTTGTTTGTTGATTTTGATTTTTTTCTTTCTTATAGTTATTTTTCTTCCTGGTCCATGTTTAGGTTTTCTAGATTTCTGTTATGAGTGAGACCATCCGGTATTTTTCTTTTTCTTTCTGGCTTATTTTGCTGAGCATGATCCCGTCCAGCTCCATCCATGTTGCTGCAAATGGCATGTGTTTATCAAATGTTCACCGTCATTTGCAATCAGGGAAATGCAAATCAAAACTACAATGAGATACCATCTCACACCAGTGAGAATGGCACATATTAAAAAAGCTAGCAACAACAAATGTTGGCAAGATGTGGAGAGAAAAGAACTCTCCTGCACTGCTGGTGGGAGTGCAAACTGGTCCAACCACTATGGAAAACTGTGTGGAGATTCCTCAACCTACTAAAGATAGAGCTTCCATATGATCCAGCAATTCCACTCCTAGGTATTTACCCAAAGGACACAGAAACATTAATTCCAAAGAGCACCTGCACCCCTATGTTTATAGCAGCACTATTTACAATAGCTAAGCTTTGGAAACAACCCAAATGCCCAAAAATAAATGACTGGATCAAGAAGATGTGGTACATATACACAGTGGAATATTACTCAGCATTCAAAAAAGATAGCTTTGATTTTTTATAGGAAGCTCCAAAATACTCAGGTTCTAGTAGTCATTTTATTTTTTTCTCTCAAATTTTATTGCATTGCAATTCAATTAAATAAATACATAATTTGCAATCTTGGAAGTACAACTTTGTACCCCCGCCTGTGTTCCTGCCTCACCCTCTGTCAGGTCTCCAGTGCCACAGCCCTATCACTTACACTCCCCACTCTTTTCCCCTCCCCGCAACCCGCTCTGGTAAACAGTACATTTTTCACAGTCTAAGAATTATTCTTGTTGCTTTCCCAGTTTGATGGTTTGATTTTGGTGATTTATATTCTGCAAATGACTAAAACAATCTAATAACTATATTTTAATTGATTTCACTTAGCATAATTACCTCAAGATCCATCCATTTTGTCCGTAAAGGTACAATTTAATCTTTTCCAGTAATTGAGTAGTATTCCATTGGCTATAGATTCATTAATTCTTTTATCCAGTTGTCTGTCATGGGCATTTAGGTTGGTTTCATGACTTGGTTATTGTGAATAATGCTGTGAACACAGGATTGCATAAATCATTTTGCATCAGTGTTTTCACATTCTTTGGGTAAATACTTAGAAGTCGGGCCTCCCTAGTGGCACAGCGGGTTGAGCGCGGTGCTGTGAAGCTGTCTGAAGCCTCTGCAGTGTGGGTTCAATCCCAGCCGGCTGGTGAGAATCCCACATGGCACGGCAGACCTCTCCTGACTGGCCTGCTGCTCCCCTCAGCAGTGTATTTCATCGGTCTGCCTGTTCTGTTCCCCCTCTGGCTCTGGTGGATTCTCTTTTAGTCTTTTAGTCTTTTTTGTCTTTTTTTAGTCTTTTTTGATACAGGCCATTCTTATAGGGGTCAGGTTTTCATTTGTATTTCCTTTATAATAAGTGATGTTGTCTATTTTTCATGTGCTGTAGGCCATTTGTATGTCTTCTTTGGAAAAGCATTTATTTAGATACTTTGCCCTTTTTTTATTGCATTATTTATTTATTTATTTATTTATTTTTGGGTTATTGATTTGTCTAAGTTCTTTATATGTCTTGGATTAACCCCTTGACAGACGTGGGATTTGCAAATATCTTCTTCCAGTTCTTATGCAGTCTTTTTCTTTTTGTTGTGGTTTCCTTTGAGGTATAAAAACTTTTTAGTTTGTTATAGTCCCAATTTGTTTATTTTTGCTCTGTTTCTCTTGCATTGTAATTGTGTCCCCAAATACATCTCCGCAGTTGATCTCCAAGAATATGTCACCAGAGTTTCTTTTATGTAACTTAGTTTTAGATCTTATATCCAAGTATTTAATCCATTTTGAATTAATTTTTGTATACGGGGTTAAGTAAGGATCTAGTTTCATATTTTTGCCTATGGCCACCTAGGTTCCCAGCACTTTTTTTTTTTAATATGTATATATATATTTTAAAGATTTTATTTATTTATTTATACAAGCACTGGGTACAGTCAGGAGCGCAGGAGGGTGAGAGAATTCACCAGAGCCAGAGCGGGGAGCAGAGCTGGCAGAAGGACCAAAGTACACTGCTGAGGGGAGCAGTGGGCGGCAGGAGAGGTCTGCGTGCCATGTGGGACCCTTGCCAGCGGCTAGGGATCAAACCAGCACTGCAGAGGCTGCAGGCAGCTTTGCAGCCCAGCACTCAACTGCTGCACCACAAGGGGAGGCCCTCCCAGCACTTTTTTTTAAGAGGCTCTTTTTTTCTCATTGTATGGTCATAGCCCCTTGGTCAAAAACTAACTGTTCATATTTGTGCGGCTCTATTTCTAGACTTTCTATTTTATCCCACTGGTTTGTGTTTGTGTTTTGTTCTAATATCATACTCTTCTTCTTTTAATGTTTTGTTGTTGTCTCACATTATTGTTTATATTTCTTATTTTATGTTCCTATTTATCAACTTACTCAAGGTTTTGTGTTGTTCTGGTTTGCATTTAATTTTTTTTTTCTTCATATTGAAAAACTCGTCAGCATTTCTTGTATGGAAGGTCTAGTGATGGAAAACTACACTTTTGTCTGTCTGGGAAAGCCTTTATTGGATAATACATTTGCAGGATAGAATTTTCTTGGGTGACATCTCTTTTCTTTTAAAACTGTGACTGTGTCATTCTATTTTCTTCTAGACTTGAATGTATCTGCTGAGAAAGCTGATAAAAATATGACTGAGGTGCCTCTTTATGTTACATTCTTCTCTTCTTCCTGCAGTGTTTAATTTTATTCTTTATCATTAACTTTTGATAATTTAACAGTGATGTGTCTTGATGAAGGCCATTTTGTATTTTGAAATTTTGGTGTTCTTTTGGCTTCCTCGGTATTTATTTTCAATTCGTTTCTTAGGTTTGGGAAGTTCTCAGTCATTATTTCTTTGAAAAGGGTCTCCATGCCCTTCACTTCTTACCTTCTGGAATACCCAATATCTCTGTTTCCTCTTCGAATGAAGTCTGCTATTTCTTGTAGAGATTCTTCATTTTTCCTAAATTTCCATTTTCCTAAATTTTCATTTTTCCTAAATTTCCATTTTTCCACTTGGGTCATTTATATCTTCAATTTCTGACATTTTTCTTCCTGCATAAGTCTACTGAAAATATTTTCTATATTTTTCCTCATTATATTCAGTCTCTCTCTCTCTCTCTCTCTCTCTCTCTCTCTCTCTCTCTCTCTCTTAAATATCCTCAGTTTCTTTCCTGGTGAGTTCTTTCTATTCCTGGGTCTCTTTTCTAAGAACCTCACATGTCTTTCTTTGAGCTGCTAAGATAATGTTGATAGTTTTTTCCCAAGAAAATATTTTGTGATATTCAGTGTTGTCTTGAATTAGAGAAGCATTACAATAACTGTATTTCAAAATATGGTATTCAAAGTCAGGAAATAGAATAATAAAGCTCAATTTAAAAATGTTTTGTGGGCCTCCCCGATGGCGCAGCCGTTGAGGGCTGGGTTGCGAAACTGCCCGCAGCCTCTCTGGCACCAGTTCGATCCCCGGCTGCTCTCCTGCCACCAGAGGAGGGTCCCACATGGCGCGCAGACCTCTCCTGCCGCCTGCTGCTCCCCTCAGCAGTGTACTTCGGTCCTTCTGCCTGCTCTGCTCCCCACTCTGGCTCTGGTGAATTCTCTCACCCTCCTGAGCTTCTGACTGTACCCAGTGCTTGTATAAACAAACAAACAAACAAACAAACAAATAAATCTTTAAAAAAAATGTTTTGTTTTCTTACTGTGATGGAATATTTCCAAGCTCATTTTTTATGAATTATTTCATTTTATATAATTCTTACATAATTTTTCATTTTGCATAATGTATGCATTTTCATTTTGGTTATATTCCCCATGCAAGCTCATTTTTTGAATCAAAATTATTTACCTGACAGTTTGTCTTGGCCATTTTTCAGTTTCATGTGAATTCTGAGCTAGATGTTACTTGAGAGGTCTTTTACCCAACCCTGTACTGTGTAGCTGAGCAAAACCAAACACAGGTTTGGTTACTTTCTCAAGGAGAGAGTGCTGGAAAGTGGTAATACTTGAGTGCAGGTCTATCTTGCTCCAGTGTCTTTCTCCCTGTATTCGTAATGTGTCCTGTATATACCAGTTTAGTGCTTTTATACTGCCCTGTTTAGAGGTCAGATTAGGTTCTCATGTCTAATGTTTTCATAAAAAAAAATAACACTTCTTTTGTAGGCCTTTATGAAACTGGATTTCAACAAAACTGGCAGTGTGCCTATTATAGAAATTAGAAAATGTTACTGTGCAAAGATGCATCCTCAAGTAATTTCAGGTAATTAGTATGAGTGAAAAAGCGTTATATTTCTAAAATTTTAGTTAATAAATAAAGATATTTAAATTATATTAATTGATAGCATGGACTTTAGACCATAAGGGAAGAAATAAAAATTATTTTTTAAACCAGAAAAGTGAGAGCTGCTTGCCCCTCTTCATTTAAAAACTCTCAGGTGTGTCATCTATACTTACCTTTTTTTGAGTGAATTTTTATTTCCTGTGAGATGTGATGAATTTGAGTTAGAAAGAATCGAATAGATTTAGAGAATAGATCATAGCATATGCAAGTTCACCAACTTAGCTTTACTGTATCTGCTTATATTTGAAGACTTAAGGCAGAATAAGGGAGTGTCTTTCTCTAGAGTGGATTTATACATATAACAAACGCATGTCTATACAAATTTGATGATGTAATAAATATTGCAAAATAATTCTAAAGATTCATTTTCTACTATATTTCTTAAGACTTTAATTTTTATACAATTGATTTATAAATGAATTAGTGTTACAAAGACAGCATTTGATTACAGTAACTCCTTTCCATTACATTTCCCTTTCTATGATTATTGTTATTTAGTATATATATTTATTTATAGTTAATTCCTTGGAATTTTTATAGCTTTGTATTTACTATAAATATCTAATATTTTTGAAGGTATTTTTAACACCATAAACACATTGCTATGTAGTTTGCTGTTCATACTCAGCAATGTGTTGGAGCTCTTTCCATGTTAATCCATACTGAGACACCCTATTTTATGTTTTTAAATCACTATTCCAGAGTTTACCTAGTTGTTCTTCTGTTTTAGACTTTTAAATTTCTACTCATTGATGTGTAACCAAAGAAGCCATGGGTACAGTTGTGACTCCTTAGGTCTATTGCCTATTGTTTCTTGACAGTAAGTCCTATAACTACCATGAATGCTACATTTTAAATTTTAATTGATACTTTTAAATTACATGATAGGATTGCTCTATCATATTACACTGCCATTATTTGGAGAATTCATTTTCCTTATCTCCTGGCCAACTCCTTAGTTTTTGCCAGTCTGATAGATGAAAAAATATTTTTTTCATTTCCCTGGTTACTATGGAGGTTAAAACATATTTTGTCTATTTATTGACCACATGTAAATTATATTTTATGATAGTTTCTAACTAGTTTTGATTATATACTATTAAATACAGTGGAATGCTATTACTTAAGAATTTTATTCTTAAATATTAAAAGTGATACACCATTGTTGGCTTCTTATCATCATTACAAATGGTTTATTATTATTGTTTAGTTTAAAAAAACAGATATTGTAATAGAAATAAGGCTGATCTACACTGGCTTTCCAAATTTCAAATTATGTATTTCAAGACCAAGTAATGTAAGTTGCTTATTGGTGACTTAAATAAACTGTAATTGCTGTAAGAGATTTCTATTATTATTTAATTATTTTTTGTATATCTTTTCCCTTTACATCCATGCCACTCGTTTTCTTTTAACTAGCAACATGAAAGTTCACTTATTTCAAACTCAGGTGATAGCCATGCCATGTTTTTTTCTTTTTGTCTTTCCCTTTCTTCTAATATCAAGGAAGTTGCTTAATTAGCTTTAGTTTCACTATATTGTCCTTGTTTTTGTTATTGTTGGCTAAGCCTTTGTTAATCCAAGAAATTCCATGCTTCCCAAAGAAATGATATTTAAACTAAGATTGTTCCTTCCCTTTAAATGGTCATGGTAAAATCAAAGCCACTTATTTCAATATGTTATTATTCTTTTACTGAATTAAAATAATCAAATGAATTTTAGAAAGAAAATGGATCAGATATTTTGTTTTCTCTTTAAATTGCAATGTTTTATACAGATGTGATTGTCACTTGCATCTTCCTATGCAATAAATATATATGACACAGTGGAACTAGCCAACTTAATGTCAGAGATTTAAATGGAATGATTTAATAGTGTGAAAGTTCTTCCAGCAAAGATTTTCATAGACCTCTGAATCCTGTGTTTTTAGTAATATTTTCTTTGTGTTGTCTGGGTAGGTGATGCCTATAAAAACTAATGCTTGAATATAGGCATGCCTGTGAAAGGCATGGCATTACTGTATTGATATCCTATAAATCTTTGAAAGTATTTGATTTCTTTGCTCATATCTAATGGAAATGAAGCCAAGTCCTTCAAAACACTAAGAAATACAAGAATACCTGTAGCAGTGACTATAAGTGACTTATTTTGCCTATATGTTAAGATAGACCCTATCAGAAACTAAAAAGATTTCCTCAAATGTGTATTCAAACCATTTCCATCAAATTCTATTTGATGCAAGAAAATGTTTAAATAATATGAAAGGTAGTTGGACATAGGATTTCATATTGTTGAAAAGATTTCATTAAGTATTATCGTCAATCATTTTACTAATCTATTAAAGATATTTTTTCATAGTCAGTACTATTTTACAGACCATTCTACAGAAGAAGAAATTAAATCATCCTTTCTAGAGACATTAAAAGACGCTTGCAGCAAGTCTGATGAAGTGTCATATGGTGAATTTGAAGATTACTATGAAGGCCTAAGTTTAGGGATAGTAGATGATAAAGATTTTGTTAATATTTTACATACTCCTTGGGGGATTTAGTTTTTAAAAATGTTAACCTTTTAAAGGAGAGATTAATTGAAGGTAAAGTTTGATCCAACATTGCAATATATTTTTCCAGGACTCCAGATGTAGAGGTATGTGTATGTTCTTACACATGTATGAGTGTTTGCTTATGTATACGTTTATAAAGATCTTTTTGATTTGTTACTTATCTTGAGCATGTTTTATTTGAATATATTTTAGAAGATTCTTTAAATTAATCTTCATAGGAAAGTTACTTCTATATCAAGCTCTGCGAGACCATCTGTATAATAAACAAATTTCTTTTCCTTTGGTTTTTGCCATCAATCCCTCAAATGTAATTGACACTGCCACCATTCTCAACTTGATAAATGGAAATTGGGCCCAAAGCCTATGAAATGGAAATAATTCAGCCTGTTTCAAACATGAAAATGTTAAAGAAATTGAGGTATATGCAAGAGAATTTTCCGAACAGTGTGATTATAGATATTTTCTATAACATAAATATTTAGAATATCAATGGCCAACCCCTAAAATGTATAAGCACTAACTTGTCTTTATAAATTCTTGCTTTCTATATTGTGTGCTGTTTGTGCAGTAGAGCTGTCCCCTAAAATTAATGTATGTTATTCTAGACATCGTTTTGGTATATTAAATGACTGAGACATTTTCTTCTAAATAGATATTATTTAATGTTTAGATGTGCATAATCATTCTTTGTAATTTTTTCTGTTTCTTGCTTCTTTGTAATACAAGAGAAGAGAAAAAAAGATTTAGAATTGTTTTCAACTTCATAATTTTAATTTTGTGTTAAGATGCCATATTTGAAAAAATTAGCATTAAGAAAATAAGAAATGGTTTAAAATGAAAATATGCACTTTGTAGAATATGACTTTGGCATATAATGTTATTCATTTATAGCCTTGTCAAAATTATCAGAAATGTGTAAACACAATAAATTAAAAGTATTTGAGTAAATAAGAAAATGCACTATTAAAATATCAGACAGAAAATATAAACAAATATTTTAGTGATGTGATGTTTCCATTAGCTAAGTTCATTATTTCTTGGATATTTTCCTGAATTAGTTATTGAAATTAAAGGCTGGAAGATGTTTTGGCAGAAATACATCTAAACTATTATTTCTGAGTCACACCCTTTTTCTTGAAAAATTTCGTACAACTGTAGTCATCTGAAATCCTAAAAATTGCTCTCATGTTCAAATGATTAATATTGTGTGTACTGAGTATGCATATTAGTATTTTTCATTGATAAATTTTTATTAGGTCTCATAACAGTGTATTCTTAATTTTCTGATGAATAGCATCAGAACAAGTATCAGTTATCATTGTAAAAAAGGGGGAGGAAAGTTCTTCCAGAATGTGACATATTAATATGATGGCATGATTTTAAACCTCTGCCTACTAAATATTCATATGGTTTTTATTAGAAAGTATCTGTTTATGAAATGTAACTTTTAAAGTTAGTTTTCTATTGTTTTGCATCATTGTATCCATGTAGAGTTAGAAAATATATATTCAATATGAGGGTATTTCAGGTATATTTTGTTAAAATATAATGGGTGGCACAATAAATCATTCTTTTGAGTTTGCCTCACTGTCTACATTCTTCTTTCAATTTGATGAAATGGAATCTATTATTTTGTCTTCAATTTAATAGAATAGCATTTAATAAATGTGACATTTTCAGATATCTACAGTGTAATAATTGGCTTTTGAAATTCTATTCAAGATTTTGAAATATCTCTTGATTAATTTTAAAAATATTAAGTTATATGTTGTAATGATGTAACATGAGTTTTATAATTATGCATATTTCATGAGTCTAAATTTTTGAAAATTTTAGGTAATGATACTGTTTATTGGATTCTATATGTTGATTTTACTATTTCTATTATTACAGAGTTTTATAGACTTTTCAGGAAAAAGGCTTATTAGAAAACTAGACATATATTTAGGAATATATTTAGCTTTGTATTAATTAGGCAAGAATATGCATTTGCATGATAGAGTAATGAGTAAAATATAGCTAAAATATATGTTCCTGATTCTTGTATGCTGTTGGTGGGAATGTAGAATGATCCAACACCTATGTAAGACAGCATTGCTCTTCCTCAAAATATTAAAAATACATGACCAAACAATTCCACTGCTAGGTATCTACCTGAAAAATGCTAACACACTAATTCAAAGGAATATATGTACTCCTATGTTCATTGCAATTCTATTTAAAAGAACTAATTTACAATGTGCCAATCAGAGATGTCAGAAATTTGCCCAAAGTGTTTACAAATGTAAAGTTATTCTTCCACATGTATCATCTTGGTATTAAATTCAGGACAAGACACTGTGTTATTCATTATTTTTAACTTGTCACTTTGCTACATGTTTTTTTTTTTAAAGATTGAATTTTGTCTTAAAGCAAGCTCTTTATTTATTTATTTATTTATTTATTTATACAAGCACTGGGTACAGTCAGAAGTGCGGGAGGGTGAGAGAATTCACCAGAGCCAGAGCGGGGAGCAGAGCAGGCAGAAGAACCGAGGTACACTGCTGAGGGGAGCAGCGGGCGGCAGGAGAGGTCTGCGCGCCATGTGGGACCCTCACCCAGCGGCCGGGGATCGAACCGGCACTGCAGAGGCTGCGGGCAGCTTCGCAACCCAACACTCAATCACTGCGCCACCAGGGAGGCCCTACTTTGCTACATGTTTTGAAGGAAAAGAGAGGCTAACCTTAATACAAGATTTTATTTATTTCCTTTATGGGTTCTGAAAAAGGAAGAGAATTAAAAACCAGATATTTATTAGTTGTAGAAGGAAATGCTGCCCATTAAAATATATGTCTTTAGAAGAATGCCTCTGATGATTGCCATTTGAGATTAATCAGGAAAAAGTAAGCAAAGCTTTTCATTTATTTCCAGCAAGAAAACAAAGGAAATAAATGCACAATGAGTACATTTTCTGTAAAGCTGTATGACATGCTACCTATAGATTAAGTATTACATCTATATCTCTAAACATATCCTTATCTATATCTATATTCAATCTTCATTGTAATCTTCAGATGAAGTTAGAGACTCAGTGCTATTAAGTAGCTTCTCAAGCTCATAGAAATAAATTCTAGGAGAGTTCAAGTTTGAAATCAGTATTCAGTGACTTCAAAGCTTGTGCTCTTTCAACATCATTTATATTAAAATATTACTCTAAGGACATACTCTTACTTGATGGAATAGTAATTGAATACTTCCTCAAAATTACTTTTCCTTGACAACATATATTTTGTTAAAAGTTCTGTAAAAATCTCTCCAGCTACTATATACATGTGTGACTTTCTAAGTGGCATATAGTGCTCTCCTTGAATTGCAGTTATTTCCTTCATACTGGCCTTCTTATTACCTGAAAATCCCAGGGAAATTGACATACAGTTGAGCTGCAAAGATGAGAATCTTTTCATTTACATCTGAATTCGTTCAGCCATAACTCAGATATCGCATTCTAACTATTAAAAAAAAAAAAAAGAAAACCTTTTCTTTTTGCTCTCTTGCATAAAATTCGTCAACCAGATAGGTAATTTTTTAATTTAAATTCTTCCAAATAACTTTACCTTGTTTGGATACCCCAAAATTATACAAATCGGCCTCAAGGCTCATTAAGGAAAATGTGTATCCATTACTGTTTCTACAATCTATCCAGGTTTTTTGCTGTTTCATCTTAAATGGACAGATCAATCACCAATCTTAATTATACCTTAATAAATCATATTTTCAGAGTGGTGAGTTATTTCTCCCCTGGAATGACGTAGGTAGTCCTTCCATGTACCAATGAACCCAGTTTCCAGAAGAGATGGTTCTTGAGGTAGTATTAGAAAACAGGCATGAGTTAATAATTTAATTTTGCCAAGTGGAGGAAATAACTTTAGACAAATGTAGCAGAGCAATTCTGAAGTCATGGAAGTTTGAAACCTTACAATCATTTTAAAAACTAGTTCATAATGGCACAAGGAACATGCAGAATGATCTGAGTACAGGAAGTGTTTTACCAGTCATGGACGAGGGGTGATTGAATTTATAACTTTAAGTGTAGACACTTTGCCACGTGTTTTGGGGCACTATGATGCCTACTGCAGTCGCGGAAAGAAACTAATTTCTTAGTTTCTTTGCTACTGTGAACTGGCAACTAAATTAGAAGTAGTAAATTGTGCACAAGTAATAATTTCTTTATGGTAGTTATCTGTGACCTCCCCCTTAAAGTCTCTGAGGTATTTGAGAATTACCTAATCCTCCTAACCTCACTCTAAGTTATAATTGAAACAAGTTTCAGACCAAATTCTGCCAAGCAGACATTAAGGAAGTACATCTTTAGCAAGGAGGCACAAGGAAGCTACAAACCTATTCTGTAAACTCTGAAATTCCAGCAGTTTGTCCCATTGGGAGCTCCAATTACCACTGTGGATGAAATGCTAACACAGGAAGCAGCATTTATAGTCCAGGGGCAAAATCTGCTGACCTCATTGTTACAGTTGGGTAAACAAAAGTTATTCTAATCTATAAGTGGATCTGAGACCTAATAGAGCTCTAACAAGACTATTTTCATGAATATAAAACCCATTATGTTTACAAGGCTAATTAGCTAGGCACCAGATGTTAACTGAATTCCAGATAACAAGTGTGTATAGTAACACCTGAGCAGGAAAGCTTTGTTGATAAAGTGCTAACTGAACCTTCTCCAATCTGTGCTTTCTTTACTAGGGAAACTGTCTCTCCATAGCTGAAATTTACACTAAATAGCACATTCACATTTGTGCTATTTATATGGTCTATTCTAAAGTGTTTTAATGGAAAAGTGTTTAAATGCAAGAACAAGCATAACAGTTGCTGCTTCATCTCAAATTTATCTAGTCAATAAGTACTGATTTAACTTCTACAATATGTCACAACATTAGACACCAGAGTCAAAGTTAAATAACATGGTTCCTGTCCTCAAGGAGCTAACAGTCTGGTGGGAAAAACAGCATTTAGTGATTCTATATTTACTATACCATAAAACGATAAATGCTGAATTGAGGGCACACCCATGGTGCCAATGTGATCCCAAAAAAAGGGCAGCTATTGATAGACTGAAGTTTCTTTTATTTAGTGTTTCAGAAGGGATGGTTCTTGAGGTAGCATTAGAAAACTGGAATGGTTTAATCATTTAGGTACGCCAGGTAGAGGAAATAACTTTAAGCAAAAGTAGCAGAGGGTAGTACCAGCAAGGCACTAAGCAGTTTCTCTATGATCCAGTCAGACCAGTAAAGGAGGAGTCCTAGAGCCCTTGGTGGCTTTTTCAGGCTTTTATTGAGCTTTTAACATCATTAGTAGTGTGGCAACCAGGTACTCGGAGGGGTGGGGGAGCTGCCGGCCAGCCGGGGTGGGGCATTTGGCAGGAGGCTGACAGGCCACTGGCCCCAGGCAAATCTTCACTTTTTGGGGGCCCTCTGGCAATGTCTGGTTGCCTCTGCTCTCTCTGCTGTCGCTGGTGTCCCTGGGATGCCACCCTTTTATGCTCAGCCTCTCAGCTCAGGTGTGCCCACCTATGCATGCCCACACATTACTCCAGTGTCTGCCATCAAGCACACATGTAAGAACACAGATGTGGGTC